TAAGAGAGCTGTGAGGTTAGATGAGACCGTCTGTGGAGAAGGAATAGCACAAGGCTTGGCCTACAGAAAGCACCTAGTAAGTGTGAGTGATTCAGATGGGACATGAGGGCTAATGCAGATGCCCCCTCTACTTGCACCCAGGAGGGTCCCAAGACAAGCTGGGAAACCACAAGTGTGGGAAATAATAGGAGCCACTGGGGAATCAACATTGCTGATGCCCTGCCGCTGGGTATGGGGTGGGAGGGGGAAGTGTGCCAAGGGTTATGCATACATTGTTTAATTAATCTCCATTTTACAGTTAGCAGCAATAAGACTCAGAGAGGGTGAGTAACTAGCTGAAGGTCACATAGCAGAAAGTGGCAGAATCTAAATCTGTCCAACTCCTATCCAGCCCATGCCCTTGGTAGTCACTCTCTATAGTCAAGTCCTCTCTGGTCCAGCTTCCGAGGTAGTTTCATGTGTTCCAGCCCCCAAGCTGTTCCCTGTGGCCTTCAACTTGGTCAAGTCATTCTTGAGTGAGGAGACTCGAAGGAAGATAATGATTCTGGGAGGTGAGTCTTGGCCTCCTGGCCATACCCATGTCTGTATCTGCCTGGGAAGCAGAGGTCAATGCTCAAGGCTCCATTTCTCCCTGGTTCAGCCTCTTTACTCAGGTGCTGGCCTTGGCCTGACCTCTGTCAGCCTTTGCACACTCACATGAGTGTTTGGGCCCTAGACCCCGGGCTGGGTGGCCACAGAAATCTTTTGGGTGCTCTCAGGAATAGGTGCCCAGGAGAGAACAGACACATCAGATTCCCTCCCAGGGATCGGCCCCCTCTGCCCTTTGTTGAGCCCCGAGTCACCTCAGAGACCCTCTCTTCCCATCACAGGCAACTGGAAGCAGGAGCTGCCGAAGTTCATCAGCTCCGACCAGCTGCCTGTGGAGTTCGGGGGCACCATGACTGACCCTGATGGCAACCCCAAGTGCTTGACCAAGGTACAGGGTGCCCCTAGGATGGGGAGGGGAGGAGACGGCCATGGTCCAGGAGCCACTCACTGGCGCCCACCCACAGATCAACTACGGGGGCGAGGTGCCCGAGAGCTACTACCTGCACAACCAGGTGAGGGTCCAGCACGAGCACACAGTGGCCGTGGGCCGCGGCTCCTCCCTGCAGGTGGAGGACGAGATCCTGTTCCCGGGCTGTGTGCTCAGGTAGGGTGGCAGCCACTCTACACCTGGGCACAGCTGGAGGGGCCAGAGCCCAGGCCAGCCGTCATCACTGCGGCTCTGTCTCCTGCAGGTGGCAGTTTGCGTCAGAAGGGGCAGACATCAGCTTTGGGGTTTTCTTTAAGACCAAGATTGGGGAGCGGCAGCGGGCAGGGGAGATGACGGAGGTGCTGCCCAGCCAGCGCTACAACGCCCACATGGTACCTGAGGCCGGCAGCCTCACCTGCCACAAGGCCGGCGTCTGTAAGGGCTACAGGGCTCACTGGAGCTGTTTTCCTCCTCACAGCAGAGAAATGAGCTGATGGCTCATTTGCCCTCCGGTCTGTTTGCCCTCTATTCCCAGCTCCCCGGGGGCTTCTGAGGGTCTGTGTGAGCTCCTAGATCCTGTGGGTATCAGAGGAATTGGCTTCAGAGTGTTAGAGCTGGTGAATGGCCCCTGGGTATGGATACAAAGACAGAGACATGTAGTAGAGAGATTCTCAGGCTGTGGACACGGCACCTGGGAACCCCTGCACTGGGCTTGACAGGCCAGGACTCCACCACACCTGGCATGAGACAGGTGAAAAACAACCATGGACTTAAGTCCCTGAGTTCCAGCCTGCCCAGGTGCGTGGGCCATCAGACTCTGGGGATCCCAAAGAGATCAATTGCCCAGGTGTTTATCCTTCATTCCCAGGATGTAGGGGAGTCCTGCAATGGGTGCCCAGGCCAGACACAGTGTGGCCAGTTTTCTCAGAGGTAGTGTTGCCCAGGAAGACCATTGACCTCCCACCTCTATTGGGAACAGCGCTTGGAGAAGGGGAACATTGGTTGATTTCCTTTGGAACAGGAGAACAAGTTTTGCTGATTCTTTCATTAATATTTGCCTCCTTTGCCTTTGTGGGGAGGGAGTGTTAGAAAAGTGGGAACACAGAAATCTGCTCACACTGAGCTCACGCCAGATCTTGGTGTTAAAGGAAATACCTTCAGTGAAAGGGGTGATGAAAAAGTGGCTTACGGAGGTCAGCCCCCTCCTCTGGGGAAATCTCTCCTCTCGAGGTCGGAACATCCAGATAAGGGTTCCTCTCCTCCCTTGCCCTGTAATGGTCAGGAAGTCATTCCAACCTCTCTAAGCCTCGGTTTTCTCATTCATAAAGTGGGCATAAGAATACCTTCTGTGTGGGGCGCCTGAGGATTCAGGGAGCTGAGAAGGCTGATATCATGCCCGGCACATACAAGAAGCTGATGCGTGCTGGTGGTCATTACGGTTCCTTCAGTGAGCACATGCTTCCTCCAAGGATGGTCATGAGCAATGGCTGCAGGCCTCACCCACAGCCCTGGGCAGCCCCAGGCAGCCCTGTCCTTGTGCGGGGCTCACTTTGCCTGACTACTTCTCCATCTTTGCAGACGTCCTGCGCTTCGACAACACCTACAGCCTGATGCGCGCCAAGAAGGTCAGCTACACCGTGGATGTGCTGCTCCCCGACAGGGCCTCTGAGGAGAAGATTCAGAGTCTTGAAGTGGCGAGACCATCCCCAGTGCAATGAAGGCTCCTGCTGCTCCTATGCCTGTGCTCCAGCCCCTTTGCACCCACTCCCTGTCCTCTGCCTTCCCAGGCAGGGTGGCGCTGGAGGTGACCGCAGAGAGCTGTGTGCCCCACACGGCCTCCTCAGCTCCTTGTGGGTCCACCTGGCCCATTGGCCAAGCAGTGTGTAGGCCGCTCTGAGGATCCAGACAGGGACCCCGTCTACTGATTACAGAAATAAGAACCCTGAGGATGAACCTCTGAGGAGGGTCTGGCTGTAGAAGCTGCCCTTGTATCCCTCCTAACAAGGTCCACCCATCCCAGGACTCCACCACACCTGGCATCCTAGCCTGGGGGCACGTGCATGGGCCTCAGGCCCGCAGGAGTGCAGCTTGAGTCCCAAAGATCAGGAAAGCCCCATTGTCTGCACCGAGGGGCTTGGCAGAGATAGTCAGGGCCAGCTGGAGGGAGCTGGGTGGAGGGATCTCTGTTATGACAGAGCTTTGAGGCCCATCCGGTTGCCCTGCATCTGGAGGGAAAGTCAGAAATGGAGAGTGAGACTTGGCAGGGATAACCATCCAGAGGAAAAGCCATGCTCAGCCTTGCACAGAACCGAGTGGGTGAAGACCGAGTCGCTCAGGATCCCAGTGACCGCCTCCCCTCCCCACCTGCTGAGATCTGGCCCCATTCTGGCTCTGAGTCAGGCCAGGACCAAAGCAGACCTGCAGTTAGGTGGGACATGCTCGGGTAAGGTGACTGTGCTGGGGTGCAGGGTGTGGAGCAGCCATCCCCGGTGCTCAGCTTTGATCCGACTTGGCTCTTGGAGATCCATCAAGCTCTTCTTCCATCCTGATGTCTTGATCAAGGGGAGGCTGAAAGTCAGCCGCCAACTCTCCCTACCCCAGAGCCAACCCCCATCCAGCAACTGGTCAGTGATGGCTTCTGTTGCCCAAAGGCTGCTCTCCTGGTGCCCACAGCCCAGTTAGGACCACGCCCCCTCTGCTGGATGGAAAGTGCCCCACAGAGCAGACCTTTTCTGGGAATGAACCAAGAAGCTGCTGAGCTGGGTATGGTTTTGCAGGTTGTCTCCAGGCAGCAATGAAGCCATCGACTGGCCTGGAAGCCCAGGCTGTACTGCCTGACCCCTCCCCACCCTGCCTCCTGCCCTCTGGCTGGACCAGGCCAATGGCCACCAGCACCGCCAAAGACCTGGCCCTGGGCTGCCCAGCGCTGGGCTCCAGACCCCTGCCACTGCTCCCCTTGTCTCTCCTGTACTGCTGTCCACAGGATAAAGTAGTGCTGCCCACAGGTGACGTCTGCAGGAATTACTGGTCAGATGTCCCTGTAAAAGGGGTCTTTGCTGCAGAACATTAGTATTGTGGCTGCCAAGGCCCTTTCCAGAGACAGGACACCTCAGCAAACACCACTATCCTGTTGCTTTGCAAGCCAGAAGCCAGGCTCCAGCCCTTTCCTGCTCTCAGATGCTGTGATTTCACTTTCTCCAGTTAATAGGAGGCTTCTCAATTTCCCAGGACCTGTTGGGGGTGAGATAACGATGAGGCTTGGGAAGGTAGGAGTCTTCAGGTGAGCTTTGTGAGGCCCTTGAGGCCCTGGCCCTCCACCTGTGGCTGCAGCATCATTCGTGCTTTAGCACAGTCTGAACATGGACTCTGCTGCTATAAAAGGCAGACTAATGGCCAGAAAAACTGCTATGCCAGTGCCAAGGAGACAGCCTGGGGCTGCCTGGCAAAAACCACAGAGCATCCCCGTGTCCAGAGGCTGCTCCTGCAGCCCAGGTGTGACAGGCTGCCTGACCCCTGGTGCATGGCATGGCCACCCTCTGTGTGGCCTCCCCAGGTGCAGGAGCATCTGGAGTCCCCTGAGCCACTCGGCCCCACTGCCCTTGGCAGGCTAGAGTGGGCATGGCAACTGGGGCTGGCAGGTTTCTCTGGGCCCACCTGTTACCAGGACAGAGCTCATGATGCCTCACTTCAGCCCTCACATCCCAGGCCTAAAAACAAGGGGTTCGTGGACTTGAACCCTGACCCTGCCTTTCTAATCACCAGCAGCTAATTTCTCACCATTAGCAACAGCCTCGTCTGGGTTCTTTGCAGGTAGCAAAATTGGTCCGCCCCATGCACAGGGGTTTCCCCAGGCTCTGATCACAGAGAATTTACACAAATATGGGCTGTCTCAAGGGCAGCAAGTAACAAGGGGATCAGGTGGAGACACCAGCAGCTCTGAATCCCAGAGCAGGCAGAAAGCACCTTGTGTTAAGCAGTGAGCGAAGCTATTGCCACCAGAGGTAAGAACAGAATCTCCCACCGGGCAATGTGGGCAGCTGCCATTTGGGAGCTGGGCAGTCAAACCCCAGCCCTGACTTATCACCATCAATTTTTTCCAAAAAAAAAAAAAGAAAGAAAGGCGGAGGTGGAGGGAGTAGCCTAGAGAGAGGTTGGCTTGCAGGAAGTTTGTTTCTTCACCCATCCATTTATTCATTAACATTTATTGAGTGCCCAGCACCAGACACTGCTGGCCTTGGGGACACTGGGGACACTGGGCTGACCCGACTCCATTAGCAGGAAACTTGCCTTTATCCAGGGCGGCAGGAGTGACTCCAAGATCCCTTACCAAGTGGGCTATGCCGCTGCTCAAAGGAGCAGGAACCACATTCTGGGGGAGCATCTTGCAAAGAAACCTGATGGGGGTCAGATATGCTTTGCCCAAAGAGGCGTCCCCAGAAGGGAGAGCTGGCGGTGTGCAGGGGTGACCAGGTGCGGGTAAGCCTTTGGACTGAGGAATGCGTGAGAGCAGCTGTGGGTGTTTGGGGCCAGAGGAAGCCAGGACGGTTCTTGGGCTCTTGGCTGTTTGCTATTTGTGAACAGCTGTGTACACATTAGGTAGTGATTGATACACAATTTTGTGATACAGATTACAAAACAGAACCATTGTCAAGAAAGAATGGCAAAATCTTGGCAGGAGGCTACAGATCAAAACTCTTACGCAGAATGAGGTGGTTGGAAATAACCAGGCCTCATCCGTCTGGAGGAATGGAGGTGGGGCCCACCCTTGCTGGCCCGTCTCACTCTTTCAGGGGAGGCAGGTGGGGTGTGAGCAGGGCACCTCTGGGGGTTCTCTGAGGACAGGTGGAGAGTCTCCCCTGACCCCCAAATCTCTGCCCCTATCCAGCTCACCTTCCAAGAGCCCAGGCCAGAGCGGACACCACTGTGGAACAGCCACAACTGCCCAGAGCAGGAATTCCCCAGAGCTCTGTGGCATGGCGCTCAGCAGTTTGCCCTGGTCCTTTATGTGCAACCCTGAAGCAGACAGGTATTATAGCTCCATTTTACAGGGCAGGAAATCGAGGTTCAGGGAGGAGAAATGTCTTGGCCAAAGACTTAGTGTCCAATGGCAGAGGGGAGCCAGCACCCAGATCAGCTGCCAGACACCCCTGCCCTGCCTTTGAGGAGAGGAGAGGGTCCGGGTGGGATGTGACAGGCCAGCTCCACTCCACACCTCTGCGCCAGGCCCAAGCAGAGGCGCTAAGCACCATCCCCAGTATACAGACAAGGAGAGGGAAGCTTGGGGAAGTGGCTTGTCATGTCATGTGATACAAAGAAGGGGAGGGAAGATGTGACCCCAGGTCCATCTATCCAGACAGCGCTGGAGCTTAAAGTGTGGGATGTGACAGGCCAGCTCCACTCCACACCTCTGCGCCAGGCCCAAGCAGAGGCGCTAAGCACCATCCCCAGTATACAGACAAGGAGAGGGAGGCTTGGGGAAGTGGCTTGTCATGTCATGTGATACAAAGAAGGGGAGGGAAGATGTGACCCCAGGTCCATCTATCCAGACAGCGCTGGAGCTTAAAGCGCTGGCACACTTGGTGGACAGGCTTCACACTTGGTGACTTCAAGGAGGAGGCGACTGCCAACAGGCCTGAGATGAGCAGTGCTCAGGTGACCTACATCATCAGCCACCAGAGGGCGGTGTTGGGCTGGCTCTGCCTCTTTCGCCAGCGGTGCAGGAACAGGCCTCTAAGCATCCGGCAGGAAGGTCGGCTTTGCAGGCAGGTTGAGGCTGGAGAGGCCAAGCTCCCTGGACCGAAGCTCTTTGTGGCGCTGCCTGGAGTGGCATAAAGAAGTGGTCCCACCTGGCTTCATATCCTGGTTCTGCTGCTTGCTGGCTTGCTTTCTAAGCCCCTGTGGTCTCCTCTTCCTCCCCATTGACTACTGCTCTGGTCTGGGCCTCTGTCATCTCTTGCTTGGATTATTACCAAGGAGTCCCTGTGTCTCCCTGTGCCTGTTCCTACCCTCTCCTACCCAGACTCCATGGTACAGACAGTAGAAGCAGCTGTATCATTAGCATCAGCATATCATTATCATACTTCATTTTCTGATCACAAAGGGAAATGAAAGTAAACAGTGAAAAATACATACCAGGGAGGAAAAAAACCATTAGAGCTAACAAATAATTTCAGCAAGGTTGCAGGATACAAGAGTAATGGACAAAACTCAGTTGCATTTCCATACATTAACAAGGAACATTCCAAGAATGAAATGAAGTAAACAATTTCATTTATAATAGCATCAAAAGAATAAAATAGTCAGGGATAACTTTAAAGAACTACAAGACTGGTACGCTGAAAACTAAAAAATATTGTTGAAAAATTTAAAAAGACAAATAAGTGAAAAGACATGTATGTTTATGTTTGGGAAGACTTAATATTTTTAAGATGCAATACTCCCCAAAGTGATCTACAACTTTAATGCAATCTTCATCAAAATCCCAACTGCCGTTTTTGAAGAAATGGACAAGTTGATCCCAAAGTTCATATGAAAATGTGAGGGACTTAGAATAACCAAAACAATCTTGAAAAAGTAGAGGAGGTCTCACACTTCCCAATTTCAAAATTTAATAATACAAAACACTAATTAAAACAGTGTGGATGGCATAATGATAGACATATAGATCAATGGAGTAGAACTGAGAATCCAAATGTATACTCACATCTATGGTCAAGTGACTTTTAAGAAGTGTGCAAAGACCATTTAATGAGGAAAGAACAATTTCTTCAACAAGTACTGCTGGGACAACCAGATATCTACAGACAAGTAAATGAAGTTGGGCCTCACACCATATACAAAATTTAAAAATGGATCAAACCCACATCTAACATTATAATCAATGGCAAAACCCTGAGGGCTTTTCCTCTGTAATCAAGAATAAGATGAGGATGCCTGCTTTTTGTGACTTCTATTCAGCATTGTATCAGAAGTTCTGGCCAGAGCAATTAGTCAAGAAAAAAAAATGCATCCAAACTGGAAAGGAAGAAATAAAGTTATATCTTTTCACAGATATAATGATACTAAATTTAGAAACTCTAAAGATTCCATCAAAAAAATGTTATAATAAATGAATTTGGCAAAGTTGTGGAATACAAAAATCCATTGCATTTCTACACACTAACAAAAATGAAAATTAGAAAAGGAAATTAAGAAAATAATTCCACTTATAATAACATTAAAAAAAATACTTAGGAATAAACAACCAAGGATGCAAAAGACTTAAAAAAAAAAAAGACTTGGTAAAAAGACTCCAAAACTACAAACTACAAAACGTTGCTGAAAGAAATTAAAGAAGATAAATAGTTGGAAAGACATCCCAAGTTCATGGATTGAAAGATGCAATGTTGTTAGGATGTCAGTATCACCCAAAGCTATCTACAGATTCGATGTATTCCATATCAAAATCTCAATGACTTTTTTTGCAGAAATAGAAAAATCCAATTTAAAATTCACATAGAATCCCAAGGGATCCCAAATAGCCAAAACAATCTCGAAAAAGAAGAACAAAGTTGTAGATCTCTCACTTCCTGATTTCAAACATTACTACATAGCTATAGTAACCCAAACAGTGTGGTACTGGCGTGAAGACAGACCTATGACTAATGGAATAGAAGACAGGCTTCAGAAACAAACCTTACATATATGGTGAAACGATTTTTGACAAGTGTATCAAGACCATTCCATAAGGTGGTAGGATGAACTAATGGTACTAGAAAAACTAGACATCCCCAGGCAAAAGAATGAAGTTGTACCCCCACCTTATACCATTATAAAATTAACTCTGAATGAATGAATGACCTAAAACTATAAAACTCTTAGAACGAAACAGGGGAAAATCGTTATGACATTGGATTTGGAAAGGATTTCTTGGATATGACACCAAAAGCACAGGTAACAAAAGATGAATTGGACATCATCAAAATCTTAAACTTTTGTGCATTAAAGGACACTTTCAACAGAGTGAAAAGGAGACACACAAAATGGGAGAAAATATTTGCAAATCCTGTAGCTGATAAGAGACTAATACCCAGCCTATATAAAAAAACTCCTACAGCTCAATAACAAAAAAACAAACAACCAGATTTTTTAAATGGGTAAAGGACCTGAACAGACATTTCTCCAGAAAAGATATGCAAATGGGACAATGCCCATGAAAAGATGCTGGACAACACTAATCATTAGAGAAACACAGAAATTACAATGAGGCACCACCTTCACACCTCTGAGGATGACTATTAACAAACAAAATAAATAACAAGTGTTGGTGAGAATATGGAGAAACTGGAACCATGTACATTGCTACTGGGAATGTAAAATGGTGCAGCCACTGTGGAAACAGTGTGGTAGTTACTCAAAAAATTAAACAGAAATTACCTTATAATCCAGCAATGCCACTCTTAAAGATTTACCCAAGAGAACTGAAAACACGTTTCCACAAAAACTTGTACAAAAAGATGTTCATAGCAGCCTTATTCATAACAGCAAAAGGTGAAAACAACCCAACTAGCCATCAACTGATGAATGGATAAAGAAAATGTAGTATATCCATACAAATGAATATTATCCAGCCATAAGAAGGAGTGAAGTATTGACACATGCTACAGGGTGGGTGAACCTTGAAAACATTATGCTCAGTGAAAGAAGCCAGTCACAAGAGGTTATATTACTCTCTTCATATGAAATACCCAGAATAGGGAAACCTATAGAGATAGGAATTAGATTAGTAGTTGTCAGGGGTTGGAGTAGGGGAACAGGAAGAGGGGACTAACTGTTATGGCTACAAGGTTTTTGGGGGAGTGATAAAAAATGTTCTACAGTTGGATAGTGGTGATGGTTGCATAATCTTGTGACTATACTGAAAATCACTGAAATTTACCCTTTATGAATGTTGAGTTTATGGTATGTGAATTTTATCACACTTAAACCAATTTTTTTTTAATTCCCAAAAGAAGACTAAACTGTCCAAGTAAAGATGGAAAATATACTGACGCGGGTTCTACTGGAACTCTGGTGAGGCACCCTGCCCCGCCCCAATTCCCTTGCCACGTCCCCTTTTAAGGCCACCCCCCTCACTTTACAGCGATCCCAAACTGCCCCCCACTTGTGTCTTCCCAGCAATGCTCATCCTTTGGAGAGGCTCCTCCTGGGCCCCCTCTGCACTCACCCAACCGGTTCTCCTACAGCCCACCTAGGGGAAGGCAGGCAAGAATGTGGGGGCCAGGGGAGCAGCCCATTTACATTTCCTAGTAACTCCCTAGGAGGAGGGGTTCCAGGGTGTGGCATGGGCAGCCGTCTTCCCCACTGCAATTGTTTGCTTAGGTGATTGTCGCCATGGTCCCCCGAGAGCTTGGCAAACTAGGAGCTAAACACAACTTGGGGATGTGCCCTGTGGGTTGGGGGTGGGGGAGGCGTCCTCTTTTACCACAGCCTTTGTTTCAAGGGAAGGAAATCAATTCTGCTTGCCTCAAGACACCCTGCAGTCCCAGGGGGTGGATTCAGTTTCCTAACCCAGGATGATGGTTTGGCCCATTTATTGAGCACTTACTATGTTCCAGGAACGATGTTAAACTCTCCAGGGGAAGGCAGGGCTGGGCTGTGGTTGCAATGCAAGTTCCAGAGTCGGACAGGCTTAGGTTCAAATCCTGGTCCCCCATTCCCTGGCTGTGTACCCTCAGAAAAGAGTCTTACTCTCGCTGACTTTCTCTTTCTTTGTAAAATGGGGGTACCCTGTTTCCAAATGCTTTGATAATGATATGATGTTCTCATGTCGGTGACAGCTTCTTTCACTGAGCATAATGTTTTCAAGGTTCCACAAATTGTTGAAATGTTCAACAAATGGGAGACTGTGAGCTCCGTGCAGCAGGGACCTGATCCGTCTTGTTCCTGTAATATCCTCAGGATGCCCCTCCACATTCCTTTCGCCTTCCCACCTCCAGTCCTTCGCCCATGCCAGCCCCTCCGCTTGAGACGCCTGTTCCTCTACTCAGATCTCCACTGATCAACATCCTTCCTTCCCTCAAGGTCTGGCTCAAAGGCCACCTGCACCCATCGGGATGATCTCTGTGCCTAGGTCCTCTCCTTGATTCAGATGGAAGACGCTTAGGCTACTGCGGGACAGCCTAAGAGTGCAACAGGAAAGTGGTTAATTGCACGGGCTTAACTCTGGTCAGGTTACTTAACCTCTTTACACTTCAGTTTGCTTGTCTGTAAAATGGGCTTAATAATGGGATGTACCCCTAGGGGGTTCAAATTAAGTAATACACTTACAGTGGGGCCCAGCATGTAATGAGCCCCAAATAAATGTAGTAAACCCGTGTTGTCCTCACGGTAGCCACAAGCCACTGGGGTGATTTAAAGTAGAGTAAAGTACAATTAATCAAAATTCAGTTCAATTCCATTAAAACTTGAGTTTTTCAGTCTTAAGAACCATATTTCCCTTGTGACTAGAGGCTTCCAATAGGACAACTCAGATCAAGTTCAGCTGGACAGCGCTATAGACGATGACTGTATGTGTACACAGGAGGTGCAACATGCCCGTTTGTGGTCTGAGTCAGAAAAGGCATTTAGGAGTATCTCGGAAGGGCCACAGCTCCTAGAGGACCCCCCACACTCCTCCTGGCTCTCCCTGCCCCGAAATAACTGGTGCACCTCACACTAGGGATGCAAGCGAGAAAGGAGACTGGTGAGAAACAGGCAGGATTAGAAGCTAATGAGGGGGCAGAGGAGGAACCCGATCTCCAGCAGTGCCAGCCAGGCGGGAAGTGGGACGGACAACAGCCAGGCACTTTGTAGAAAGAGGCTGGAATGTGAAGTGGGGCGTGGCTGGGTGTGGGTTACCTAAGTCTCCCATGTGCACATGGTAGGCGCCTCCGATGGAGGGGGATGGCCACAGATGGCTCCCCCCTCCTTCTGGGCCCCATTCGGTCAGAAGCACAGAGCAAAGGATGCGTCCAGCACTACCCCACATTGGTCAGCCTAAAGAGGTCCTAGAGGGCCCAGGGTGGGGATGCAGGATGCCCTAGGAGCAGGACACTTGGGAGAGTTCTGGTAAGAGAGGCCTGGGCTAGCCCAGCTGTCGGGGCTGCAACTAGCCCAGGGGTAGTTTCAGCCCACGTGGACCTCTTCAAAGCCCGGAAGATGTGGCTGTGTGAATGTACTGTGGTCTTGAGCAGAGGCACTCCTAGTTTCTTTAAAGACAGTCATTGACAATGACTGCCATTTGATGGGGACTCTGCCCCCTCAAAGCTTACAACACCTAGAGGAGAATAATCCCTTAGACATGTGCAGCCCTTGGCAGTCTGTCTGTCTCATCAGATTCTCGTTCCAGCCCTGTAAGGAAGACAGGGCACGGCCTGGTAGGCCCGTCCTATGGATGAGGCAAGGGACACTCAGAGGTATCATCTTGAAAGGGAGGTCATATAGGGGGAGTGGGGAGCAGGGTTGGGACTTGCAGGCACTCTAATGGTAGGACACCAGGCCCAATGACAGAAATCAAAGCCTGGGGCAATCCTCAGGGCTTGCACCTGACCTTGCAGTGAGGGAGGATGCCCCTCACTGATGAGGAGTTTGAATTCCCAAGGAACACCCTCAGCGCTCCAAGGCCGTCGATGCGTCCCACCTCCCTTGAGCCCAGAGGGTGCAGGATCCTGGACAAGGACCCTCATGCGCTCATGACCTCAACGATGGGAAGGGGGCAGCAGGGTGGGGGTGCTCAGCCTTTTCCCGTGTGGCAGGTATGGGGCCAGCACCACACCGTAGGATCTGAAAGAAATCAAGAGAGGACACTTTAGAGTTTCATTTGTCTGCCCCAGCTTGTCCCTTCTTGAATACGGATGCTTGTTGCAAAAGGTGTGAGCCTCCCACCCCACAAAGTGAATGGACTGCTTGCTAGGCTCCTACCATCAGAGCTGGGGCTGCCCTTGCACTAGGTGTGGGGTCTCTTGCTGAGTGAGATGGGGAGACAGAGGAAGAGAAAGGGGGCCTGCGAGAGCAGTCCTGACTCTCCTGAAATCCCCCTTCTATGGGGGTCCTGGGGCACCCAGTCTCATTCCCTCCACTGGCAGGGGACCTCCAGCATGCCCTCCTGTGCCCGCCTGCCCCCAGCACCTTTCCCAGAGCCAAGCACAGGACCTCCCTTAATCCCAGTTATGTAATGTGCAATCCAACAGCCAGCCAAGGAGGAGGCGCCCGAGACCACGCCCAGGAGTGGGGGCAAAAGGCCCTGGCTGGGTCAGGGTTACAGAGCAGGCTAGCCTCTGTCTGCAGTGGCCTCTACTCCGTCAGCTTCGCCCAGCACCATGAGCGGCCGAGTGGGAGATTTGAGCCCCAAGCAGGCGGAGACCCTGGCTAAGGTGAGAGCCCCTTCCCCGGAGCCCCTGGGGAATGAGAGGTGGTGCCTGGGGCGCTGACAGGAACCCTGCCTCACTCTGTAGGTGTGATGTGTCCTCGACACTGTCTCTTGGCTGTCACCTCACCCAGAGTCAGGCCCCACAATGCCCATCACATCAGCTCCGAGCAGTGCCGGGGCAGAAAGAATGGCCCCACCTCCAGGCAACAGGGTGGGTCAAGCCCGGATCAGGCCCAGCTTCTCATGCAGGCGCCAGACCCGGAGAGCTTTGCCCTCCCCTCCCTCGCAGGCCCTTAGGTGGGACCTGAAGGATTTGGTGATCTGCCCTCTGACCGTTCCCCGCCTTCCCCAGGACCCTGAAAGATGCCCTGTCCGTAAGAGTCAGAGCGACAGAGCAGCAGAGGATGGGACGCGTGGGCACTAACTGTTTTTATAGAAAATGGGATGCAGAAAGGCAGAATTCTTGATGAGTTAACACATGGAAAGAACTAAGGCTATGTCCGTAATTCAGTTCACTTGCCCACCTGCCCATGTATCCTTTCTTCCGTCCCCCACCCACCTGCCCAGCCCTCCTCCTATCCGTTCACACGCCCATCTCTCCTTCTTCCACCCGCACATTCACGGATCTCTCCTTCCTTCGTTTCCCCACCTGCCCTCCCACTCACCCATCCATTCTTCTTCCTACCTCCTTAGCATTTCCTATCCTTCCTTCTGCTCACCTGCTCTTCAGTCCACCCACCCACCCCTCTGTCCACCCACCCCCATCCTCCCATCACTGTGGGCCAGGCTGCATGAGCCAGAGAAAGGATGATGGAGACAGTCCCTGGGTCTGGAGACAAAGGCCCAAACGGAAAGTCCCTCCAGCCAGCATCTCTCTTTCCAGTTCCGAGAAAATGTCCAGGATGTGTTGCCTGCCCTGCCCAACCCTGATGACTATTTCCTTCTGCGCTGGCTCCGAGGTGAGAACAGAGGTGGGAAGGTCAAGGTGAGGGAAGAAGGGGTCTGGTCTCAGCTGCTCCAGAACCTCCCGTGGCTCTCAGGACGTGGCCACGCCATCTTGCTGCACGTATTCAGGTCCAGGCAAGGGGAGGGGGTGGGGCAGGAAGGTCCCACCCAGGCTCCCAGGGTCATTCATAGCTCCACGCTGCCCAGGACCAGGACAGGCCAACTGCAGGGCGGCCTCTTCCCTGTCTCACTCCTTCTTTCCAACTTCTCACAGCGCGGAGTTTTGACCTGCAGAAATCAGAGGCCATGCTCCGCAAGGTGAGATCCACCTGCCTTGGAGATGTGGGGAGGGACGTTGTTGGAGAGCATCGCCTGGAGGCCCCACCTCCATCCCCTCCTCCTGGGTAATGGAAGCCAGTGGGACCTCATCACTCATTTCCCTTTCAGTACATGGAATTCCGGAAGACCATGGACATTGACCACATCCTGGATTGGCAGCCCCCTGAGGTAAGCCAGCACCCCCTACACATCCAGTCTTTGACAGACTTTCTGTCCACGCAGTCTCTGGATCACTGGTGACCATGAGCAAAGTGCAGTCAGCCTGAGAGGCCTGTGGAACCCCCAGGCCTGCAGGCACATCTCCAGTAATAATTATGATCATTTCTAGGGCTTATGAGATCCTGGTCTGAGTTAAGACTTTACCTGTGTAAGCTCATTTAATCGTCACAACCTATGACGTGAGTACTGTCGTCCCCACTTCACAGTGAGGACCCTGAGGCCCAGCAAAGTTTAAGTAGCTTACCCAAAGCTCTACAGCCTCAAGGTGGAGCTGGGCCTTGAGCTCTGGCCCAGAACCCAGGCTCTTCACCACCACAGTTAGCTTGTGCCTCTGCGTCCTCACCCTACAGGGCCTTGCTCAAAGCATCCTGTTTGGATGGGAAAGAAGCTTAGCCCACCAAGGAGTTGGAAAGAGCAGTCCCACCAATGGTGTCCTAGTAACGCAACGGTCATAGTCTCCTTCATGGCTCATGAGCTCTGGGCCAGGCGCTATGCTTTGCCATTGTGATCCTGGGGACTCCAGCAGTCCTGTGAGGGTGAGGTTATCCAAACCACTTTACAAAAGAGGGCAGATTGGGGAACACAGAGGTGGCATCTCTTACTCAAGGATGCACATCAGGGAAGCAGTGGTATCTGTACTCAAACCAGGTTTGCTGACCTTCAGAATCCATGTCTTCCATCACTAAGCCCAACTCCTGTCCATGGAAAGGGGTGTGGGAGACATTGAGGGGCAGAAATAAGGAGCCCAGAGGCCTCAAGCTGGCCTGGCTTTACTGTTGTGCTGTGAGCTAGACAACTGTGCCACCCTCCAGGGGAGGGACTATGCTTACCCCATGGTGTGTGTGCACACTTGGGCCACCCAGGTCACCTGATCTGGCAGGGGGTGTCTGGGAAGGTGCATAATGCCAAGTTCTGCTTGAATTTCCATGTCCAGGTCATCCAGAAGTACATGCCTGGGGGCCTATGTGGCTATGACCGTGACGGCTGCCCCGTGTGGTATGACATCGTTGGGCCGCTTGACCCAAAGGGCCTGCTCTTCTCAGTCACCAAGCAGGATCTGCTCAAGACCAAGATGAGGGACTGTGAGCGCATCCTGCATGAATGTGACCTGCAGACAGAGCGGGTAAGGCCGGGACCAAGTGCAGCAGGCAGATGGGGGCAGGTGAGGTTGCCGCGGGACACGGTCCCAGGCACAGAGCAGTGCTCTCTGCCATCACTGTCAGAGGGCTCCGGGTCAAACACCAGCTCTGCTGCTTCCCAGCTGTGTGGCCTTGGAAAGTCACCTCACCTATTGAGCCACACCAACACAACAGGGGTAATAATAGTAACACTTGCAAAGATTAAATGAGAATATGCAAATATATGGCCTAACACCCAGGGCCTAGTACGTATTTCTCAACAATGCCAGTTTTCCCTCTGAGTCTTTTCCCTTGCTCTTCCTCTGTCTGGCTAACCCACCCCAGCTCACGCCTACCCTGCACGCTGCCTCGGCTCTCTCCTTTCCAGTCTCAAACAGATGGCACCTTCTCTGAGGCTCCATCTTGGTAAACATGTGTTCCCACAGCTCCTGTGCTGACCCATTGCAACACTCACTTCAGGACTGCGGCAACCTGGCTGCTTGTCAGTCTCCCCATCCAGACTGTGAACTCTCTGGGGACAAGGACTGTGGATAATTGAGCTTCATATGTTATACTCTCAGTGTCTTGCACAAAACAGATGCTTAATAAATCTCAGTTTATTAAGGAGGGATGAGTGGATGAATGAATGGCAGTATGAATGGATGGATGGATGAATTGATAAATGGGTGGGTCAGTTAATGGACAGGTGGATGATAGTAATGGGTGATGGACAGAGGGTGGATGGATGGGTGGGTAAATGAGATGAATTCACTGTTTTGTCCACTGATTCCTCTAAAGACAGAATAGGGAACGGGAGAAGCCGCGAGGGGTCATGTGCTAGGGTCACCACGTCCCAAGTTCTGATCCTGCACCCGAACCTAGGAACTGCTCCTTGCTCTCATCCTTGCAGCTGGGGAAGAAGATCGAGACCATTGTGATGATCTTTGACTGTGAGGGACTGGGACTGAAGCATTTCTGGAAACCTCTGGTGGAAGTGTACCAGGAGGTGAGGAGACGGCCCCTGGGTGCCCCCTGCTTGTTTTAATGACCTGTGTGTCCTTCAGTGGTGGTCTGTGACCTTGCTGTCCACTCAGAGATGGGATCTGGTAGAAGGTGGTGGCCTTCGTGGGCCCCATCACTGCAAGTCAGGACCCAAAGGGCCTCACTGTGTTTCCTGAAAGATCCCACAGAACAGGCCTCAGAGACAACACTGTCCTGAGGCCACAGGGCCCAGCTTCTGCCAAACCCGTCCTGGCATTGTCACCCCAAGCCCCGTGACTCAGGCAAGTCACTTCGCCTGTCTGTGCCTCAGTTTCCTCACCTACAATATGAGGACACCAATCGTCTGCATTTCAAAGGGATGTAGGATACTTGGCAAATAGCGAACATTTAATAAACAGTAGTCATCATTATTACTGTATTATCATTACTATAAGATTTCATCTAAAAATAACTCTTATTAGAGGCTGTTATTGTCTGAGGTGAGAAGGTCCTCGCCAGGGGCCAGTGGCGGTGATGGAGAGAAGGGAACCCTCCACAGCCCTCGGGACCCTCCAGAAGGGACATTGCAAAGGTGATGGAGGTGGAAAAGGAGACGTGGGCTCTGACGGGGCTTTTTGGTTCCACAGTTCTTTGGCCTCCTTGAAGAGAATTACCCAGAGACCCTGAAGTTCATGCTCATTGTGAAAGGTGTGTGACAAATGACTTTGCTTCCTCGTCTGTCCCCTGGGGATGACAATAGTGCCTTCGTCCTGGGTAGTATTGAGACAGGTTGGTTGCTTGGCTGCATGCAAATCTCTTAGTGTGCCTGGAACAGAGCAAATGCTGCACAAATGGTGACTTCTCTGGTTGGAAGTTACTGGGAGAGGAGGTAGCTCCACCCGCAGCCCCTCCAGGAATCCCCCCTCATTTCTCCTGCCCATGCTGGTCTCTCCCTCCCCAAGCTGCCTCTGATACTGACAGCCGGCGCAGCCCCATCCAGCCCTTCCTGTCTGCTGCCTTCTGGGGGCCTCCAGTTGTCCCGTGTGCATTCATCCGACTTTCCTTGTTGCCGTTTCTGCTCCTTGAAGGCAGTAGGGCCTCTGATTCCCACTGCGGTTGTATTGCTCGCAGGCCTGGGGCTGTTTTTGGGTTGTTGTTTGAGTGGGTGGGTAGATGGAAGGATAGATGTGTGTTTGACGGTTGGCTGGTGGATTGATTAGTAGTTGATTAGTTACTTGATTGTCTAGTTGGCTGGATAGTTGATTGACTGGTGGTTGGATGGATGGTTGGTTGGTTGGTTGGTTGGTTGGGTAGTTGTTAGCCTGGTTGACTGACTGTGTGGCCACTGACATTTTGGTTGGGTGGGTGGGTGAGTGGCTAGTTGGCAGGTTGGTTAATTGGCTGTCTGGTTTGTTGTTTGGCTGCATTTTGAATGGTTGGCTTCTGGTGGTCTGAATGGTTGACTGGCTGGAGAGAGCAGGTCAGTTGTCTGGGGAGTCAGCTGGTTTAATTTTTGATTGGTTTTCTGGTTGGCTGATTTGTTGACTGGTTGCTTGACTATTTGGTGAGTTGGCTGACTAGTTGGTGGACTGGCCAACGGGCTGGTTGGAAGGTGAATTAATTGGCTGTTTTGTTAGCTGATGATGGGTTAGGTGATGGATTGGGTGGTTGGTTAGTCGACTGCTTGTTGGCGGGTTGACCGGTTGTTTGGACCGTTTGTCAGGTGCCGGGCACTGGAATCTTCCAGGGTCATTCATGACTCTTCCGTATCTTGGCTATGAGTGTGATGGACAGGGTGATCCGATGGAATGATTTTCTCCCCCATTATCCTTGCTTGTCTCTCCCCAGCCACCAAACTGTTCCCTGTGGGCTACAACCTCATGAAGCCCTTCCTGAGCGAGGACACCCGCAGAAAAATCATAGTGTTGGGAAGTAAGTAGTTCCAGCTCCAGGTCTGAGCTCCGTGCACCTGGCGTCAGAGGCTCCTCCTCCCCAAAAGGGAAGTGGCTCTTACACTTGGAGGCCATCAGGCTCCCTCTGCCTTATTCCCTGTCTTTAATGACTAAGGTCTCCACACCTTCCTCTTTATTGGCTTCAGCTTGGTTGCTAGTCAGTCTCTGGGCCGGAGGTCTCAGTGCCCTTTCCACACTCATACCTGGGTGCTTCTAAAGGCATCTGGGCTGAGGGGAATGAGGAAAAAGAGCAGGAAAGGGGACGTGATTCAGAGAAGGGAGGCTCAGAGAGAAGGGACCAGATGAGTCAATAAAAACGCATCCATTTAATGGACTATTGGACAGTCATGGAAAACGATTTGAGGTCCTGAGAAATGTCATCAACTTTTTAAAAAAGTAATTCATAAAGGGCTGTGGATAGTACGATTTTATTTTTGTAAAAACAAAACTTTCTAAAAGAAAATACAACAAAATGTTAATTTGTGGATAACAAGAAATCAAGTGGCCTTTTATGTTTGTATTTTTCTGTATTTTCTAAACGTTTATGACATGTATTACTTTACAAAGAGGAAATGTTTTTAATGATAGGGAAAGAAAAAAAAAACGGAAGGGAAATAGTTTTTAAACTCAAACCCCTGACCTTGAACTTGGAAGATAACTTCTTGAAAGCAGAATGGTCAGATCATTAAATCAGGAAATCCCTGATTTCTCTCCCTTCCTGATATCTGAATCTCTGCCTCTGCCCCATTCCACTGGGTTAGGAAGCTGGATGGGTCACAGGCCCCCCCAAATCCTGGAGTAGTGAGGTAAGTGCCACACTCCAAGCCCATGTCCAGGCCTCTGCCCCAATTGGTGGTGCACAGAGCTTTGTGCACTTGCCCCTGGTGGGCCAGGCACTGTGGGCTTTGCTCTCATTCCCCGGCTGGCACTAAATCTCCCATAGCCATGGTGGGGGAGCCTGTACTGGTCACAGGGCTGAGGCCATGTCAACACCCAGGACCCAGAATTCTTAGAGTTTCACCTAAGGCGTGAGGAACAGTAATAGGCATTATGGTTGTTGTGGTTAAAGAGCAGAGAAGAGGAGGCCCTTTCAAAGGCCCGGGGCCACCCATCTCCCAACAAGAGGTCTGAACTTGGCTACGCCACATACACACTGTGTGGCCCCCAGTGAGGTCCTTGACCCCCACTGGGCTTTAAAGTCTCCCTGGGACAATTAGACAACCCTTATCTTCACTACTAATAACTGGGAGACTCTCAAAAATGTGCAAATGTATTATGATTTGGGGAAATATATTTCCATGGCAACACAATGCTGGAAGACACCTCTTGCAGCCTGACCCCTGGGAGGCTGGGGAATTAGCCCTGACAGCCTAGCTCCTGCAGGCCTTCTCTGCCATCTCAGGCCCTCCTGTGGGAATGGAGGGCGCTAGTGGTTCCCTCCATGTCTGATAACCACCCTTACAACCTTCTGCCCATAGACAACTGGAAGGAAGGTTTGCTGAAACTCATCAATCCTGAGGAACTGCCTGTTCAGTTTGGGGGAACACTGACTGACCCAGATGGGAACCCCAAATGTGTAACTAAGGTATGAAGATCCCCAAGACAGGGGAAGGGAGAGGAGTATAGCTGGGTTCCTTTCTCATCATTCACACATTTATTCCACAAATGTCTATGGAGAGACCCCCATGAGCCAGGTGTTAAGCTAGACAGTCCCAGCCCTGCCCTCACAGGGCTCTCAACAGCTGTGCAGGCAAACAAGAAATGAGGAAATCTTGCCCCCAAGCGATGAGCTGGAAGGGGAATTTCCAAGAACAGGTCCTGACAGCTTGGAGGATCAGAGAAGGCTTCCTGGCGGTGGGGAGGGCTGGGATGAGCAGGATACGTCCAGGAGATGGTGAAAGCATCTCAGACAAGAAAAACAGCACTAAACAGGATGGACTATGCAATGGCCAGACGAGGGGAGCAAGCTATCCTGTCCTATGTCTGCAGATCAACTACGGTGGGGAGATCCCCAAGTCCATGTACGTGCGGGACCAGGTGAAGGCTCAGTACGAACACTCAGTGCAGATCAGCCGCGGCTCCTCCCACCAGGTGGAGTACGAGATCCTGTTCCCAGGCTGTGTCCTCAGGTAGGAGGCAGGTCACCAGCCCACCTCCCGGCTGGGCCCCAGCCTCTCAAGGACCCATCAGACTGAGCAGCAGCCTATCCCCCCGCACACAGGTGGCAGTTCTCATCCGATGGTGCAGACATCGGCTTTGGGATTTTCCTGAAGACCAAGATGGGGGAGCGGCAGCGGGCGGGGGAGATGACGGAGGTGCTGCCCAGCCAGCGCTACAACGCCCACATGGTGCCGGAGGACGGCAGCCTCACCTGCTCGGAAGCCGGTGTCTGTAAGTCTGCCCTGGTGGGCCCCAGCTCTGGAAGGCTGGAGCCACTTGTCCCATGGTTTACAGGAGGAAACGGAGGGGCAGTGACCTCCCCACACCAGGGACATATAGTCTAAGTTAGCGCCATTCATTCACACAGTTGCCCACTTGGTCCACACTCATGAACACCTACTAGGCGCCAAGAGCCAGAGACACACAGGCCCCAAAGAAATTGAGATCACCTGGGACACAGGGCGCAGGCAAGGAACAGTAGGGCAGGTGCAACTTTCCCCAAGGGGAAACTGGGGCTCTGAGAAGTAAACCAACTTGTCCAGAGCCACATGGCTGAATGCAGCGCCAGGGTCCCCCCCTCAGCCTTGTGGTAGCTGCACAATGCTGGGCAAAAGTCTTACCCATCTGGACCCTTGTTTTACTCACCACTGAAGCAGAGGTTACAACCCCTGCCTCTCGTGGTGCTTGTGTGGAGGCAGAGGGCACGTCAGGTCTTGCCCAGCACCCCACTTCATCCAAGCAGGCCGGGAGGCCTCTGACATTCCCAACAGCCTCCCTCAAAACCACATGCGAACGTCCAGGTGTGGAGACAATAGGTGCAATGGCCATTGTTCTCATTGCTGGTTGGTGCAACTAAAGCCAGGCTGGGCACACGCCAGCAGGAGGTCAGTGTCTGTGTACAGGCCCCGCTCAGGGGGTGGCAGTTCCCATGGGGAAAGGAAAGGGAGTGGTGGGAACTTGGCCCAGACTGGCAAACACAGCAGGTAGGAACACAGCGTGTTCTCACTCACGGCTGGAGCAGGGAGGCAGGGAGTGTGAAGTCAGGCTCAACTACCCTTCTGTCCATCTGTTCCCCCAGACGTCCTGCGCTTTGACAACACCTATAGCTTTGTCCACGCCAAGAAGGTCAGCTTCACAGTGGAGGTACTGCTTCCAGACGAGGGCATGCAGAAGTACGACAAGGAGCTCACCCCTGTCTAGGCGGCTCCCTGACCCTCGGAGGGCCCTGGCCCCGTTCCTGCTCTCTCTCTGTGCTAGTCTCCCCTCAGAAATCGATCATTAGTCCTCTTGACTCTGTGACATTAGTGAGGAAAGAAAGAGCTACCTGGGGAAAGACATATGCTTTGTTCCGATCAGCAGCCTGAGAGGAAGCCAAGTTTGCATCATAAGAGGAAGAGAAGAGGGTAACAGCAGGAGGTGGATGTCACTGAAACCCAAGAAACAGGAAAATGAATCCCCTAGCGTTTGCCTTACTGCTCCTTAGGCATTTGTGTGTGCTTGAGTACCTTCCTGATGAGCTATGAGAAACCTGGGTTGAGACTATCCAAATCCTTTCTACTTCTACCCTTTAGGTAGTAGATGCCCCTTGTGTACTTGTGAAGTTGAATGAAGGCAGGGGCAGGTGATCGTGGGTGTGCATGACAGAAAGGAGCCTACGGGGCAGATTTCAGAACTCTGGACAGGGATGGGACTGCGGCGGGGCTGATCCAGCCCCCAGATTCCTGGCAGGGGCTGCCCCCTTGGGTAGATAGGAGATGCCCCCATGAGGTCTTGTCTGACTCCAGGCGCACAGCTTCCCTTACCCTCTGCTCTCTCCCTCACCCCCTTCCCTTGGAACTCACAGCCTGCTTTAAGTAATTGAGAGAACTTTCCTGGAAGCAAAGGAAGTCACATCTGGTTCTAGCTGCTACCTGGAAATAATAATAATAATAATAAATTGCACCTATTGTCTGGTGAGTGTTCTGTATGTACCACACTTGGTGCCGAGCGTCTAATGAGTTAGTTCATGTCACTTTGACATCTCCCCTGAGGCCACTTACCCTCACCACCTTACGGATAAGGAAACTAAGGTTCAGGGAGGTGAAGTCACTCACCCAACAACGTACAGCTCTTAAGTGGCAGGTCCAAGACCCAGGGGTTTTCTTTGTTTTTTCTTTACTCCAAAGACATTACTCTTAATTGTTCCATAAAACCTTGCCCTACAACCCCACTTTTATAAACAAGGAGAGAAGGAATGACTTGTTTGTCCTAGATTTCCCTGTAGAAGTGTCCTGGGTGTCACCCCTCCAGTCCCCGGAATGTGTTCCACCCACTGGGCAGCTGGAGCAATGGAGACCCAGTGCTCACTTACACAGCGCTCACCCAAGGACCTCACCGCAGGGCAGGCCGGGCTTACTCCTCCAAGCCCAGCGTCCTGTCTGCTGCTCACATGGCCTCTGGGAAGCACAACCCCTGATCCCTACCACGACCCTGGGTGACTGCGGGAGAGGTCAGACTCCAGGGCGTCACTGCTCCACGTCAGACGTCAGATGTGGAGATGCAACTCTTGCGGGGAGGAGCTGAAATCCGCAGAGGATTGGCGCGAGTGGGAACCAACGGGCTTGGCTGCTGCTGGGGAGGGGCTCTCTGGGAAGGAGCTGAGTGAGGGCCACCCAAGCGCAGAGAATAAGGCCCCACTTTGAGATTAATCAAGCAGCAAACGTTCCGGCAGCAGCTAGCACTTTCCACCTGCACTGACAGGTGCAGGATTTTATCTCCGTTTCATAGACCGGAAATGGAGCTCACAAAAGGCACTGACTGCTCTTGTTTCCATCAGCCTGTCGGTGGCAGAAATAGGGCTGCAGTGAAATCTACCCTCTCCCCACCTGCTTACTCCCACCACTAATTTATGTTACTGTAGCAACTTGCCAGAACAGGACAAGACTGCCAACTTTCTGAACTGGGGGGGGGTTGGTGTGGAGAAGGAGGGAAGACAAGAAGAGAGGGTTGTCGGATTTAGGAGGAGAAAAAAGCAATATTTGGGGACACACTTAAAATGTATTTATTGTTTATCTAAAACTGAAGTGCAACTGGGCATCGTGTATTTAATGTGCCACACCACAAATGAGGGATGCGGCAAAGGAGACCGGGAAGCGGGGCAGGGAAGGAAGAGGGATCCGCTCTCTTGGAAAATGACGGCAGCACCTGCCTGTGGGTGGAGGATGTCTTGGTGCCCTTGGGAGGTGATGGTGCAGCATGCAGGACAGGCTGGTCTCACCCTCGTCCCCTGAGGGAAAGGTCCCCCGTGCTGCAGCGGGGTCAGGGATGAGGGGTGGCCCCCATGCCTCCTGGGGGTCAGGTTGCTGAGAACGGTGCCTTTAGATACCCAAACTGGTCTGAGCTCCTCTGCGGCAGTTCACAGACCCACTGTGAGCAGAAGGTTACTTGCTCCTGGAGGTAGGGGCTGTGCAGGGAGCCAGGCTAGGGCAGGGGCCAAGGACCAGAGACTGACGCCCAGCCATGGCAAACTAGCCCCCACACCGTACCCACTGTCTGTGGGCACCAGGCCTCCCCAGCTCTGGCCTCCAGGTCTCCAGTCTTATTCAGGGGCCAGACACTGAGCTCCAGTCCTGAATATCCAGGAAGAGGTGCGGGGGGAGGGAGAGAGACCCCACTCTGCAGCCTTGGCCGCGGGACCCTACCACACTCCAGCAGTGGTCAGCAAGCAGTATAGGAGCAGGAGGACCAAGGCCTGCAGACTTCCCCCTGCGTGTGTGAAGGGCAGTCAAGTGCCAGTGGCAGCAGCCCAGAACTGCTGGGGAAGGGAAGGCCTCAGCTGCCCTTGGGGGCTGCAGGCTGTTTCCCAAAAGAGGAGTCATATGTGGCAATCTGGGTCACTTCGCAGGCAGACCCCAGGCCAGGGCACCCTATGGGCAGAGACTAAGCCAACTCGGGGCTGGTGCTAATCACGTGCTAATTAGGCACCAGATCCTGCCTTTCCCAGGGTCCCCTGCTGCAGGCCCTCTCGGGAGGATCCACTTTCACACCATGCGGTTAAGAGGTTAGGTGTCGTGTTCCCCAACACACACAAGTACCAGAGAGTTTTAAGGCAAGAAAAGAGCCCTAAGGAAATAGAAAACTTTATTGTATGTCTATGAAAGGTTGTTTAGCTGCCTCCTGAAGGGCCCACCGCCTCCCAGCTTTCCTGGATGGTAGACGGAACACCTCTTCAACCTCCTCCTCAGAAGAGGATCTCTCCATTGTCCCCACCGCTGGCCTCAGCTCCTGGGCGTCGGGATTAGCCAGGGCCTCCCTCAGCGTGTTCCCCAGGCAGCCAAAAGGCCAGCACAGCTGAAAGGCCCTGAGCACCTTCTGAAGAGTCAGCAGGGACATAATCAGCAGCAGAGAGACACAGCTGAAGGCCGGTACTGCCACTGGCCAGTTGCTCAGCGTCTCGCAGGAGGCTGGGACGGCCACTAGCCAGTCTGGGAAGGATGGGGCTGGGGAGCACCTCAGGACTGCCCAAGGGTGCAGGGCAGGGCATGTGGGACAGCATATGCTTAAGTATTGGTGATTTCTGAAGGTTTTAGGATTTTCATATTTTGTTCTATATGTGAATGAACTAGTAACACTGCATACAGCTCTTAAAAGGAAGAGGGCAGAGTCCAGTGTTGAGTATGGCTATTGTAAAGAGACCTTCACATTTCAGACATCTGGGTTTCCTATGATGACAGAATCTACTGCACAGGAAGGAGGCTTCGAGTAGCTCCAGGCTTTCAGCACCCAGAGGGACAGAGGCCACGGGGCCCAGGGTCCCCCACCCACGATCACATCTGTCAAGATCTCTCTGGAGTGGAGGGCCCTCCCAACCTCCCTTTGTGATCCTTGGGCCAGGCCTGATCCCAGACTTTATCCCATGCCTGGAAATGTGAGACCCTGGTGGCCTGGCCTTTTGCTCAGCACCCAGGCCAGATCCAGGGCTGTGAGTTCCAGATCCAGCTCTGCTACCCTTATCCCACTGCCATTCTCAGGGGCGAGGATTGCCAGATAAAATGCAGGACACCCAGTTAAATCTTTAAAAATTTGGTTTAGATATGTCTCTGGCAATATTTGGGACACAGTTATATTTTATTATTCATTATTTAGCTGAAATTCAAGTTTAAACAGAAATCCTATATTTTTATTTGGAGACCCTAACCGGGGATCCAACACTCCTTTCCTGGGCTGACCCCTAGCTATGCCCAAAATAGCCTTGGGGGGCAGCAGAAGAGAGTAACAGAAGGAAGTCCCCAGGCCCCCAGCTGGGCCTGGGGCAGCGCCCTCCGCTCCCCGTCTGCCTCAGCATCCTTGAGCAGGAAGGCCTCCATGCAGAACCGCAGCGGCTCACTATCTGGCTGGGACCAAGGGCCAGCCCTGGGGCCTATTGAGACGTACTTGCAGGATGGCCAAGGAGATCAGAGGGCTTGGAGACCGGCCAGAACAAGTTCCTGGGAAGCCCTTAGAGGCTCACACCATGGGACCTTCTTGTTCCCTAAAACCACGTTGAACAATGTTCACCCCATTACTTGAATTTGGGAATAGATGTGTTTAGCCTGAGCAAGGGCAGATGTTACAAAATCAGCCACAAGTGACAAGACTCTAAGGCCCCCACAGCCACTCAACAGCTTGCACCCTGGCTGGGAAGGACAGCTTACCCTCTGCCGCATTACTCCCAGCCCAGGTGGGCAAGGTCAGGCCGGACACACAAGACGGTGGTCCCCAGGGACCGAGTATAGCACAGACCTCTCCACATGATTACACCGATGGCCCAGCTAAATGAGACCCTGAGGTAGGAATGAGACCCCCCCACTCTGCCTTCCCCCCTGCTCCCCCTGCAGCCCCACAGACCCTGGGGGGAGACAGGTACCTGGTACACTTCAGGTACCTGCTCTGGGAGCCCACACACTCATCCATATAGAGGTTCATGGCCCTGTTTAACGCTGTTGGACACGGGCTTCTAGGGCCTGCATGAGCCTTCCACCTGGGGACATGGCAAAGTATCTGTGGGAAGAGGGGGAAGAGGGTCATTCTAGATAAGTAGTCACAGCCACCCTCCAGTAAGCATCTTCTGCATAGTGGGTAGATCACAACCATAATTTCATCTATTTCGGAACCATCTGAGAAGTGCTTGTTAATGCCCATTTTACAGATGGGGTGATGAGAGCTCAGAGAGATGGCTGAACTTCGGTTCTCTTACCCAGTCTCATTTACTAAGTGAGGGCACACCTGTCCCCAAAAAGGTGGAAGACCAAAGGAGGCCAGAAACAGGATGGTGCATGTGGCCCACATTCTGCCCCCCTCTTTAGGCAATTGTCAGGGGTCCACACTCTATTCCCCTCCACACACACACCAGCCCAAGACTCACCATGCAGTATCTGGAGGGCCACCTGCAGGGGCCATGTGGTGGGGTGTGATAGCTTCTCAGAAAGGGGGGTCCTTCAGAGGGCCAGGTGGGAGCCATGGTGCTACAGGTCAACACGATCCAGCGGGTCCCCACGGCCAGACTGGGAGGCAAGCCCTGGGCAAGTTCCCCAGGGGAGATAATGGGGTGGGAGGGCCAGAGAGAAGCTGCTGACAGAGGCTTGACCAGCCCTGAGTTCCATCACAGCTGCCATTAGGGGCTATGCCCCAGACCCTTTGTGAGCTGCACCATTGCCCCTATTTGCAGATGTGGAAGGTGAGGCTGGGAAGTCCTGCTGCCATCTGCCCGTGGTTACATGCAGCTATCAGCTGCAGAACTCAGGCTCAAACTCCCAAGTAAGGGTGCTTCCAGAAATATTTAAAGGTTGCAATTATGACAAGATTCAGATTATATAAATGGCATTAAAATGAAAGATGGCTTTACTTTTACGCTCTCCCTAACAGTAACCGCTTTTTGTCTGTGTGAGCAACTATGTTGTGTAAGCATGGTGCACAGCTAATTCTCTTTAGAATTTGGGCTCCTGACCTCCTTGCCACTCAGCCTCTAAAAGGGATTGTCTCAACCCGCGGGCCAAGGGTACACCACAGACAAGAAAGGAGTTTTGGGGGCTAAAGGAAGAACTTAAGGTGTTTGTTTAGTGTTTGCTAAGCACTTACTGCATGACAGGCTCTGCCCTAGAGGTCAGGGTGCAGGGTGGGAGTCGGTCCCCGTCCCTGGGTTTAGCCTGCCAGTGTGGCCTGAACCTGGAGAAGCAGAGCTACCTACCCTGGATTCCAGGAGGGTCCTGCTCAGCCTGGAACAAAGCCGATGGCTCCCAAGTGCAGGATGAAGGTCAGGAAAGACAAACAGGTGACCCAGGGTCCCGGTGTCCTCAGCTCTCAGTGGGGAGGGAAGCAAAGGACTCCAGGGGCAAGGGGCACTGGGAGGTAGGGCTGAGTGTTGAGGGCACCCAGCCATCAGGAAGGTCTCCTCCCAATATCCCCAGGATGCCAGGTCCTGCTCCTGCTGCAGCCCAGGCCGGGTGTGGTGAGATGAGTTACCCTCCGGGGGCTCACCAGCTGCAGGGGGAGGCCAGCTCAGAGGCGGGGAGGGCAGGGGAACACAGATGGAGAACCCCCACCCACCACCTCAGCTCCCAAAGGCACCCCACTGCCCAGGCCTACTAAGCAGCAAGACCAGAGCAACATGCAGAAGCCCCCAGGGTGTGGCCATAATGAAAAGCAACATTGCCCCACCCACATACACACAAGCCTCCTTAAATGGGCCCAGAGGAGGCTGGGAAAGAACAAACCTTACCTGGAGTCCACAGGTTAGCCTAGGGCACAGCTCAGCTGGGCCCAGGCCAAGTACTTCCACATTGACTGACCTGTGCCCCCCACTTGCCCGCAATGCCTCCTGATTTTAGAAAAAGCTCCAAAGTCACCCCATTCACATAGGATTTCATAGGGCTAGCAAGAGTTGTTGCTGTTGGAAGGCTTACTGCACAGTGGACGTAATTTTCTTATCTATAGGATGATAAAAGTGGCACTTATTGCACAGGCACTTAGGGTTGCATAACACAATACTTAGCACAGTGCCTGCCACAGAGTAAGCATTCCATCCATGTTCTCTGTGGGTGTCACTTCATAACTGCTGTCCAAGGAGAGGGTGGAGTGTGATGGCAGAGGTGAGATGATTGTCTGGTTCATGGAGGGTTCATGGCGCTGGTATCGTTGGGGCTGGACCTTGAAGGCTGGGACGGAGGGAGATGGAGCTGGGAAGCATTCCTGGCAGATGGCACGGCCTAAGTAAAGGCACACAGGCTGGATGGGCCGGGCACATCCAGGGAGTGGCGAGGAGTCGGCAGAGGCAAGAACACGTGTCCTAGTGAGTTTTGGGACTACTAAAGCTCAGAGGCTGTGGATGCCAGGTTGAGGGGTTCGAACGGGACCCTGGGGGCTGCCTGGATCCTGGGGGGCATCAGAACAGAGGAGGCACCAGGGGAGAGGATCCGCATGATCATCAGGTCAGCCGAGCAGATCAGAAGAATGTTCTTCAGGCATTAGGCATGTAAAGAGTTCCCAAGATTTTAGTTTGTACAAATAAGAGCATGGTAATCACCCTCAGATGCACATCTTTGTCATCAGATGGAACAATTCGATCATTTGCCCTTGAAGGAGATGTCTCTTGCCACATTAATAATAGCCAGTATTTGTGGATCTTTCTCTGTGAGCCCTGCTCTGGCTGAATGCTTTGTGAGCCATTTCTCCTGTAATCCTCACAGCAGCTTCAGGAGGTCATTAAGGAGAACTGTTCAGTGAGGAAACCAAGCCTCAGAGAAGTTAGGCAACTTGCCCATGGACACACAGCCAGAGTCAGCTCTCCTCCTGACTGTGTAGAGAGCCATGGAAAACTGGAAGGCAGTAGGCATGGCATCAGAACTGGGCTGGGGGTGAGGGGGTTGGGGGCAAGAGAGAAGATGGGGGGAGGTGGAGGGATGTAGGGGGTGCTCTGTAGGCTTGGGTCTGTGACTCCAGCTCCAGGAAGCAGGGAACTAACCGTGATGTGGTTGTAAAGTAAATGAGCCACATGATAGGAAGTGCTTAGCACGGGACTTGGTGCACCCTGAGCGAGCAGCTCACCAGCAGATACTGTTCTCAGTAACCCTGGAGGCAGTTTGAGCCAGCACAGAGGTGTGTCGGGAGGTGCTTCCTCCTCGTGGTGAAGCTGAGCATTGTGCGAAGGTGGCCACTGGGCAACCCACCCCCAGCATGCTCTAGGACAAGGCCTGGAGGTGGGGAGAGCCTTCTCTAGGCCACTGATCCCAGCAGGCGTCTTCCCCATCCTCTCAGGCGATGGAGGAAGCATTGGGCTGGAGGAAGCCCCGGGGACGCTCTCAAGCCAGCTCTAGCAGCTCAGAGACCACCTTGAGGGGCCACACAGAGGCAGGAGTGGGCTGGACTCAGGGAGGGTGGGTAGGACTGCAGGAAGAGGTGGGGAAAGGCTGGAAGGGAGTGTCCCAGTTAGAGGGAACAGTATATGAGAAAGCCCCGTCAAGAGAAACAGGACCCAAGGAACCAAAAAAGGATGGGATGGCTGAGGTGAAGATTTATGAGTAGGGGCCAGGGCGGAGTCATCCAGATCGCAATCCTGGACTGCATTCTGAACACTGGAAGTGCCTGGCCAGACAGAAAAGGCTGGAGGGGCGCAAGCCAGAGGCTGCTGCCCTCATCCAGGCCTGGAAAGGACAGATAGGAGATGACTTGGCAGACAGGTGGAGACTGAAGCTACGGGGTTAGAGGGAACGTGAGGGAAGGGAGAAAAAGGCCTGAGCCCAAGCAGCAAAGCGCCAGGTGCCGAGGTAGCAGCCAGAGACGGGGAGGAAGGAGCAAGGGCTCTGGACAAGCAGTGGCTGCAGCCCAGGCCACCTCGCCTTCTGTTTTGAGAGAGGGAAGAGAAGACCAGGGTTGGATCTTACCTCTGAACCTACAGGCTATGAATTCGCCCTCTCTGATCCTTATACTGTGGATCTGGACAGGGGGATGGTGCTACTGACCCACCTCCTGGATTAGCAGGAGGGCCAGAGCAGTGGTGTGTTGATAAATGCTTAACCACTGGCCCCCAGGGCTGGGGAGACCCTGATGTGTTGATCTCCATGGTGTGAATACTCCTCGTGGCCTATTTCAAGCCACAGGGTTGAGAAGCAGTTGCTGAGCACTGCAATAGGGTAGATGAACCAAAGACACAACCCAGAAATGTGAATGCCCTCAAGGGCACAGATAACAGTAGTCTAGTAAAACAATCAGGGAGCAATAAGCTTTCAGTACTTGTGTTTATTATAAAATGATCACCACAATAAGTCTAGTTAACCAACACCACACATAGTCACAATTTTTTTTCTTGTGATGAGAACTTTTTACTACCTTTTTTTTAACATACCGTGTTTAAATCTAAGTTTATATTGTTTAGTTTTTCATACTAGCTGTGTTTAACTACCAGCTCACAACAGCCCTGAACAACTGGTTCTGGCCTCATGATGACTGTAGCGCACCATTCATGAGGCCACAGCAAGAGGGTGTGCAGATGTGCACCTCCTGGTGGGCCCAGATCTCAGGCATCCTGAAAAAGCCCAACCTCAGCCCTAGGGGACTGCTGGGCCCCTGAGCAGACATTAAAGGAATTCGCCTGCCCCCCCACCACTCCCACCCAGGTCCACGTGGCCAGCATAGGCCCTGCTCATGTCCGGGAGCATCACCTCACAGGACACTCAACACTGGCCCCTGTTTTGGGGGCCACCTATTCCCAGCCCTTCCTCAGGAAAATCACGAGTGCTGAAGTTGTTGGAGAGCATCTCTTTATGGGAAAGCTGCCCTTAGACGCTGCTGCTAGACGCTCTCTGGCCCTGAGGCCCTGGTGAGCCAGCAGCAGTGGGAAAAAATGCAGAACCGCACGCCTCCTGTGGGTTTCAGCACCACCGCGAGCAGAGGCCCTGTCATCAGCGTCAGTGAGCAGGGGAGGCTGCGTGGCTGGTATAAGCGGTGAGGCGGGTCAGGGCCCGGAGAGGCAGGCAGTCTGCCAGCAGCGACAGGCTCCTGCCACCCAGACAGTGGTGCCAGTGTGGGAGAGAGTACAGGGTACTGTGTTCAACTCGTGCCTACGTGACCTCAAGCCTCAGTTTCTTCTCTATAAAATGAGACTGACAGCCTACCGCATAGGATTATTGGGAGAACAAAACGAGGTCATCACAGAAAAACTGAAGTGCAGGCCTGTCCCTTGGCAGGCAGGCAACAAAGGGTAGCATTTATTAATAATATATAATAAGTGGCAGTTACCCTTCTTCAGGACAAAGTGGTGACAGGTGACAGCGACAGGGCAAGCAAGCTTAACAATCTGGAAGGCATAGGCTGGGAGGCCAGCAGGGCCTAGGGAACAACCTTGAACTGGGATCTGGTCCCAGACCCGCCTCACACCACCACACACCATTTGTTGAGAATTCTGCCTGCCAGGCACCAAGCTAAGCATTGCCTCATTCAATCTACACAACAGTCTACACAACAGTGCTGTGAAGATTGTGACACCGAGAGGACCACCCGAGAACTCCCAGGGGCACCATCTACAAGGGGCAGCCCTTGTGTGCTGGAGAGGCTCTCGGCTCCTGTCCCAGCCCTCCCAGAGACCCCGTCCATTGAACTGGCCTACCCCTGTCCCTGCCTTAGGTCCCACACTCACGAGGCCTGTACAAGGCTGTAGTACAAAGGGGCCTCTTCCAGATGGCTCGTCTGCACACAGCTGTGAGGGTTGGTGGGAGCTGTCAGCCATGGAATATTCCATGTGGAGTTTAGAGCCCAGAATAACAGTGCTGTGTTAACTGGGTCTTGAGCCTCCAGCGTGGCCCCATCCAGAGCTGGAAGGAAAAACAGACAGGGACAACACAGTGGCCCAGAGGCACTGAGGGGCTTGCCCAAGGACACACAGCAGGAGGGGAAGCAGGCAAAGCCAGGACCTGGTTGCCAGAAGTCCAGTGCCCTTCCTGCTCCCCACCTTGCCCTGCGTCTCTCCCTGCTCTCACCAGAGGTGGCCTAGCTTAGAACGCGAGGCTCAGGAGACCCTGAGCCAGGGGCCCTTCCCTTGGGTCGCTGCCTCTGTTCAGCCAATGTCCCCTCCTGTAGGAATGGACAGACCAGGACAAAGTTCCACACTGAAGTCCAGATATCTAAAGCCAGCCAGGGAGCCAGTCACCAAGGAGGCTGGGGACACGGTGGGGGCTTCCGAGATGGTAAGCAAGCAGCAAATGGTTAATGTGTGTGAGGAGCCCCAGAAGACCGACAATGAAGGCTCATGACAAGGCCCCCAGAGAAGCCCAGACAGGCAAGAGAACAGGAGAGCAGGGGCCCAGAGAATCCAGGGACCCCACACTCAGACTCCCAGGTGAGCCCAGCTCTGCCTCAGGCTCACACCAAGGGGGGTCTCAAGAGGTCAGTGCCTGCTGCCCTGCTTGCTGGAAGGGCAGCCCCCACCCTGCCCACCTCCTCCCCTCGTACAGGACCTCCAGGTGGCAGGGTCCAAGGCAGCCTAAGGGACCCTGGGGGTGTGTGGACCAGGTCAGCAAAGAATTCTGCCATCCCCAGAGATCTGGGGGGACACTAGCTCCTTAAGATGGCCAAGGGAGCCAGGACAAGTGCATCCCAGGCTGGCCCCCACCTTACTGTCACTCACTCTCTCTGGGCCTCGGTTTCCCGTTTAGGTCTTGTTCAAGGTCCCTGCCTTGCTCAAAGGCCTGTTTTGTTTTGAACATTGTTCGCTAAGTTGCATCTGGTGGTACTGTGGGGCCTTCCCTTTGTGAATCTGTTTTCTTATCTGGAAAATGGGGATGATATTTCTACCTCCTTATGAGGCTGCTGAGGAAATGAGGAACAAACGTAGGTCAAGGGCACGTGCAAACACACAGATGACAGGTGGCAAGTCTGCACCATACCCTGGCCTACCCATTTCTGTTGCAACCCAGCCCTCTGCTTCTTTTCGAGAAAAAAACTGAGGATCAGAGAGGCTGTGGCTTGCCCAAGGTCACACAGCAAGTCAGTTAATCTGATTCTACCCCTTCTTCCAGCCCAGACCCCCCAGTTCTGCCCCACCGAAGGGCTGGTTCTGAAGGATGCTCTGGGTTGGCCAAGAGGAAAAGGATTTCCAGCTGAGGAACATTGCAGTGGGAGGGGAGGCCAGGCGTCAGGTGGTGGTTCAGTAATCACAGGCACAGAGGAGGCAGGTAATGGGGAAGGGCACAGCTAGGGCAGAGTTGAAAGGTTAGGTTGCACCCAAGAACAAAGAAACCTGACTCTGGTGGCACCTCCCAGCTGTAGGGAGGGCCAAGGGGGTAGAGAGTGAGCGAGGAATTGGCGGCAGGTCCCAGACATCCTAGGGAAACCGGTGTGGGGGAGGTGGGAGGCTGCTGGGCTGGAGAGGGGTGTGGGATGGGTTGGGAAAAGAGCTGGAGAGTTGGCAGGTAGGGTCCAGAGCATTTAGGGGATGGGAGGGAGCAGGAGACTGGGCAGAAGAGGCCAGTGGCAACCAGGCTGGGGAAAGGGGGCAGCGGGGCTTGGGAAAGGGACCCAGCTGTGGAGAGGAGGGCAGCAGGAAAAGGCCGCCTCTTCAGGGCCCCCAGCTCCAGGGCAGGCCATCGGGCTCACTGTGCAGCTGCGGACACCCTAGGGCAGGAGGCGCCACCACCCATCAGTCCTGCCCAGCCCCTTGCCCCCTCCAAGACCCACCTAGGTGCAGGCTGTCTCTGTCAGCACCTGGGCTGTGACAGCAAGCCACAGGGCCCGAGTGAGCGGGCCACCCTCCCCACCTCTCCATCCTTCTGAGCTCTTGGCAGCCAAAGGGGCTGACCCAGAATCAGGGAAGAATGGCTCCCTTCAGTGCTGCCAGGCCCAGCAGCTGGGGAGAAGCCACAAGCATGTCACTTCCTCACTCCAGGGACAGCCCCTGGGTCACTTCCTTTCCTCTGGGACTCCTGGGTCCCCTGGTGGAGTCTCACATATAATCATTTGGGGGCTGTCTTCATCTCGGGCACTTGCAGGCTCAGGTGGTATCTACCCAACAGGCTCCCCTTCCGGAGGTGACAGTGCTTTAGGAGACCTGCAGGAAGAGGGCAATGCCTGTCCCAGGGGAGGCTGGCACACCAGGGGTGGAATCCCAGGCTCTGCAGGGCAGGGCAGGGAGGAAAGCCACAGGCCCAGTGCAGCTACTGTGAGTGGCCTGGAGAAGTCAGCCTCCACCTCTGAGTACCCCCACATCCCTGCTCATCCCCAACAGAAAAGGAGAAGAGAACTCAACTTCTTGAGCATTTATTGGGCTTGGGGCTGTCCTGCCTTCCAGCCAGGCCCCAGCAGCCCCTACAGGAGGGCTGGGCTGGCCAGGGAATCAGTCCTCAGCGTCCCTGCTACTGGACTCCTGCATTTCCCTGAGCGCCTGCTGCTCCTCCAGCCAGCCACGCTGCCATGGGGAGGCCTTGGTCCCCAGCTGGCCAAGTGGTCACGCCATATTCCTTGCCCTGTCTGGGGCTCAGTCTCCTTATCCTCCATGGGAGGATGTTGCTTTCCCGTCAGAAGACAGGGCTGGACCCACCCAGGGTCCACTCCCACTCAGTATCACAGGTTCACGGAAGCCGGTGGGGTTCAGGTCCTGTCTGTCTGTGAGTTGCTGTGGCTGCTGCCTCTTGAGGACTTTGTCTCTTGGCTTCTGCCCCGCTCAAACAGGAAGCAGGTAGCCATGTCCTCTGGCAGGAGCAGGAAGCTGCAACAGTACAGGGAGTGGGCCAACCCACAGGCCAGGTATGGTGGCGGGGTCAGGAGGAGCTGGGCTTCTCCACTGATGGGTACAGTTTGCGCAGGCTGGAGTCCAGAAGGAAGTCCACGGACCTGTGGGACGGTGGGGGAAGGGGGTGATGAGCAGGTGGCCAAAGGGTGCTAATGGGAGATTAGGAGATAGAAGTTCTGGGCTAGAGAAGGGACTCCTGGATGCAGGACACAAGAGCCATCCAGGTGGCAGCCATCACCCTCTTCTTTATTCAGTTGGGGAAAGTGAGGCACAGCGAGGATAAAAGACTCATCAGGTCCTCAGGGTCAGCTATGTACCCTTGGGGAGACTCCTCCCACTCTGTGTTGGTCTGGTTGGGTTGGCCCCATCTCTGGTTCTAAGAGCAGGCACATGACCCAAGCCTGGCAAATCGGAAAAGGGAAACTGGCTCAGGCTGGGCACCCAGGCCAGGATGGACCAATGACAGCCTTCCTTGGGATTTTTGCTGTCACTAAGAAGCTTCCTATGGGGCTTGCTGAGCTGGTAGGATGGAAGCTGGGGGCCATCTCTGCTCCAATGAGGAGAAAGTGAGTGAAGCCCCAAGATGGCATTGGGCAGGAGCAAGTTGGGGAGACCCAGACCCCTAAAGACATCATTTGGGTGCCTAGATCCAGCCATGCCAAAGGCAGCACAACTCTGGACTTCCCAGTTTCATGAAACAATTCTTATTTTACTCAACTCAGTTTCAGCTGGATTTCTGTCACCAAAACCCCCCAAACCCATCCTCTCCAGGGTATACCTGTTCCTGCCTGACTCTGGTTGTTTCCTAACACTAGGTTTTCTTTCTGGGAATTTACTTGTCCTGTATCCCATACCCTCAAGGCACCGGCCCCACCCCCACCTCCCATCCCCAGCTATCTTTACTTAAAGTATCTGCCAGGTCAGTGATAATGGAATAGGCTATCCTTTCTACTCTAGGAGCCCCAAGTACCAGCCCTGCCTCTGCTGTTATTGCTCTGGGCAAAGTGAGTACACAAAGCTTATCACTCCCTGTGCAGCAGACAACCCTTGAGGCTGGGAGGGGTGCCCACCTGTCGATGGGGTGGATGATGATGGGGATAACCAGCAGCCCCAGTGCGGTGGTGGTCCACTTGCGGGCAGCCAGAGGCCAGTGGGTGGCAGTGCCCAGGATGTAGAGAGAGGCAGCACACACACGGTTGATAGTGAAGCCTGGGATGGCCACCGAGGCCAGAGCCTGCCACACGAAGGTGTCCACCACGGCCACGGTCACCCTGGTGCTGCGGCCTGCTTCAGGGCTCCGCACCTGGTAGGCACAAGAGACACTTAATCCAGCAGGGGTAGAGGTGGGAAATCCTGCAGACAAGGGGCACAAGACTGGACCAGGGAGAGGAAGTGGCCAGTGTTGGGGTGGGACAGAACCACACTAGTGCTGGGTTCCAGACTGTACCAATTTAGGGCTGAGGGTGGACTCGTTCACACCCTGGACTGGGGTGTAGACTATGTCACATGCAGGGCCGGGGGCAGGATGCCCCATCCATCCACTGCACGGGGGCATGAACTATACCAGGTGAGGCTGTGGGGGACTGGACTATCCCACAAAAGACTACCACACTCAAGGCTGTGGTCTGAACCACAAGGGGAGTTAGGGGGGATGAGGGGCAGGCTCATACTCACGTCTCCTGCCTTTTTGCCCTTGTCAATGGCATCAGCCAGCACGTAGGAGCTGGACACACCATAGCTCAGCCACACCACAGCTGCCGGCACCAGGGAGCGAAAGGCCTCCCCGACCTCATTGGCATAACCTGGTGGAGAGGGGACATTTAACTCCTGGGCCTATGGGCTGTTTCACAAGGGGGCACTGGTTCTAATCCCAGTCGGCTAAGCAGTAGCTGAGCAACTTTAGACAAGTGATATTACCTCTCTGAGCCTGTTTCCTGGCCTACAAAATGGTGCCTGTGACTGCCCACCTCGATTTCAGCGTCTCTCTGAGAGAGCTGGGTAGTCACCATCATCATCACTCACTCGCTTTTCTAGCCTGAGTTCTAGAAGCTTCTGTGCTAACAGGGGAACAGGCAGCAAGAAAGAGTGACCACAGGCAGCCAGGCTGACGGAGAGCTCACCAAGTGTCAGGACTTCCTGTGCTCTATCTCATTCTACCCTTACGGCGACCACCCGCTGGGAGAGACCCTGTATTCATCCTTTTTTGCAGAGGAGAAAACAGGCTCAGAGCCAGTGATGAGCCAAGAAGGGAGTCCATGGCTCCAAAGCTAGTAGCTAGTGTCCGGGCTTGCCGGGGAGGGCAGCCCACTCACCCCCTTCCTCTTCGCTGGGCCGACCAGAACTGTGTGACCTTGGGCGAGTCCCTAGCCCTCTCTGAGCCCGGTTTCCAGCACGGGCTAAATGGGAACCAAGATCCTCCCACGTCCTCCAGGTCTTCGAACCGAGTCTGGCAACCCCCGCTTCCCCAGCCAAGTGGTGGTGGGAGTTGGCGCCGTGCCCCTCGTCCCGCTCTCACCCAGGTACCGCACCCACGTGTCCCGGAAAAGGTCGCGCTCGGCACCCCGCGGGGGCGACTCTGACATGGCGCTTCCTCCTCGGCCCCAAACACTGCAGCAGATTCTGCGGTGCCACCGCCTCGGCTTCCACCAGCGCGCCGATCCGCGGTGGCGGGACCAACCGAAGGTCTCAGACTGAAGGACAAGTCGTGCGATCCCCGCCAGCAGGGAGTGTCTGCAAATTCCCCCGCGCACCGAAGCCCCTCTCCCAAGCTTGGGGTTTTGCAGATTAATTTTCTTCATCTCTTCTCTAGGGTTGAGTTGGCGTGATCCTCTCCCAGGACTGACTGTATGTAGTTTTGGAGTCAAAGACACTGGGATTCAAATGCGGGATGCTACACTGCGTGTTTACACTTCATAGCTGTGTGACCTTCGGCAAGAGTCTACTCACTGAGCCTCACTTCATTCATCTGTTAAATGGGGAACACGACAGCGTTCACCCCTGGGATGGTTGTGGAGATTAATTATAACAGTCATCGTTTACTGAGTTTACTACTGGCCAGGCCATCGGCTAGAGACTCTTGCCGGATTACTTCCCTAAACCCTCCCACCAACCTAGGCCCCCCATTTTACAGATGAGGAAAGAAAGGCACAGAAAAAATGGAACACTTTCCCAGGCCATACAGCCGCTAAGTGGTGAATTTGGCATTTGAATCTAGGCAGTGTGGCTCGGGATCCCATACTCTTAAAGTGAGCTCAGTAAATGAGGCTGAGGGAGTGAAAGGTGAACACCCCGGCGAGGTGGATGCTTGGACTCAACCCCTTCCCGACAGCTGCTGTGTTCATTTAGAGCTTCCTGGGATCTAACTGGATCAGTATGCCCATAGCCCAAGACTCTTGACCTTGAATGAATGAATGAATGAATGAATGAGGCAAGAGAAACAGAATTGGGGGTACCAGATTTCAGGGAAATAAGCAGAACAGAATGAGGAGGAGACTTGGGAGTTAGTGAGTACTCGGGAGGAAATTCTTTCCCTGCTGGACCTCAGTTTACCCATGTGAACAATTAAGTGCACTTCACTAAAGCTCTGTGAATCCTTTGGAGAGATCAGCTAGCAAGAAGTAGCTAATAAAAACCATCAGTCCTAGATTCAAATCCCCGTTTTACCACCCATTAGCTGTTAAACAGATCTATAAAAGCTGAGTTGCCGATACTTAGCGTTCGCTTGTACCAGGCTCTTTTCTAAGCCCTTTCCACGTCCCTTGAATCTTTGCAACGATCCAAGGCGGTAAATACAGGGTTGCTGCGTGGTATCCAGCAGACGCTCAAAAACAATTAGCTTTTATTATCATCAAATAAAGATTGGGAAAATGAAGACCTTTGTCTCCCTACCGAAGGTCCCATTTTCAGCTTTGGGGGTCTCTGTCATTACATAGGACAGTCGGGTCAGCAGGGACCTCGCATGAAACTGGGCTTGATCCAAAGTGATCCCCACCCCTGAAACCCCAGCAGTGCTGGTGCGGAATTAGAAGACGCTCCCTAACACCACGTGATCGTCGCTCCTCCACCTCCCTCCCTCTTTAGGGCCGACCGCAGGCGCTGCGCGTACTCTTCTGACCCGCTCTGTGCGCTCAAAAGGCGCCCAGCGCGCGCTGAGAAGACCGGTGAGGCGGGGCCTCTGCCCTCGCCGCCTTTGCTCTTAGCAATGATGGCAGAAGACCGCCCACTGGACGGACCAATCAGGAGATAAGTTGACCGTTGCGACCCATGGGAAAGCGCACGCTGAAGAGTAGCGGACGGCTTCTGCGCATGCGCTTCACTTAGGGCGTGAAGCCGCGAGGTTCCCGTAGTTTGGCATTAATGGGCAGCGAGAAGCGAGGCGGTGGGTATTGACTTCCACTCCCTGTGCACTGAACATTGCTTTATTCATTCGTTAATTTTCCTAACAGAGCGTTGTAAACCAAAGTCGGGATGACTTCCTGAGGGGATATTGGCTGGGGCCCGTGTGGCCTCGGGCACCTTCCCGTCAGTACCTGCCCTGCCCAATATTCCTGCTCCCTCGGCTTCACCAGACCATCTCCCCACTCTGGGCGGGGGCCTCTGAAGCAAAGAACTTCCTACGAGGGTCAAGCGCGGCTGCCTTCTGTGCAGCCCAGGGCCTGGCATTCGTTTGCAGGACGGTGGGGTTGGGTTAAGTGCTGTGGGTGGTTGGGGCAGGGTCCATGCATGCCCTCCAGCACCTGGTCGCTGAGTGCCCCCATGGCAGCCGTTTGTCACTGTGGGCTGGGGGCCTGCAAGACTCTATATGGCTACCCCCGGCCCCTGGCTGCCAGATGCTGGCCGTGCCTATGGCCCCTGCCAGGCAGCCTCCTCGGCAGGTACCAGGAACCCACTGTATCCAACTATGCCTCCCACAGAGGTGGGACTACTGAGGCCTTGCTCAGGTCAGTCAGGACGCTGGTTGGCAGGCACCGTGGGACACAGGGTGGGAAATGCCCTCACTTTAGTTTTCTGTCGTAATCCCACTTGCCATTTTTGTGTGGGGTGCTCAAGTGGAGAGTGACTTGATGAGAGGCTGGCAGCACTGAAAAGCGGGGGGTGGGGGTGGGGGGCGGAGCCTCAGGACTCCCGCCCCCAGCCTCACTGGCCCATCAGAGAGCTGGGATTCCTGGAGGTGATTTCCCTGGGCTTTGTCTGCATTGGAGAACAGTGGCTGGGTACAAATCTTGGGAAGCTCCGAATCACTGACAAATCAGAAATTAAAGAGACAGCCAGTGGGTCGGAGTGGCTGAAGTTTTCAAGGTGAGGGAGAGGCCTACCTGTCTACCCAAGTGCAAAGATCTGTGCTGGCTCGGGCCACCTCTTGAGCCCTCTGGGAAAAGTAAAAAAGATTCCAGCCCCAGTAACATAAAGTTAAGAAGGGCCTCTGACCCCCACTATAACTAGCAACTGGCTACCTTGCTACTACTCATTATGATCCAGACGTACATTGTCATTTGGGAGTAAGTTCCTCCCTGCATCCAGCTTCCCTGAAGTTAGGTCTCAATCTCTCCCCTTTTTTCTAATTTCCCTGCTGCCACCCCAAGTGATAGTCTCAGCTGTCACTGGACAGGTAAAGTTAGCACAGCTTATAGGACAGACAGATCCTATCTTGGTGCCCAGCCTCTGAGGACTCCTTAGTGATCTGAAGGGCAAGGAGACCCACACCTGTTACTCTCTCTCTTCTTAATTCTGAAATGAAAACTCCCCAGACCCAGCCCAGGGTCTTTCTGGTAGCCCAGTTTTTCTTTGGGCATCAGGGTGCTGGGAAAGTGATGGCTACAAAGGATGGAAACTGATAGGGAGACCCTGAGGGAACCAGGTCTGCTGTGGGAAGAGGCATTACTTTGGGGTGACTGCCCCCAGCTGTTGCAGCTTCTCTTCAGAGGCTTTGTCTGGAAGCAGGACCTCCACAGTGTAGCTGACCTTCTTGGCATGAATGAAGCTGTAGGTGTTGTCAAACCGCAGGACATCTGAGGGGAGGCAGAAAACCAGACATTGAGGCAACTCTGAGAAAGGGCTTTTGTTGACTGAGCAAGCCATTGTGGTAGGTAATAATGGTGAAGGTGGCATAAGCACTGGTTCTTCACTTTTTGAAACAGTCTAGCTGATTGACAAGATGTTCATGGAGAGAAGAAAAATACAAGCCAGAAAATGCCATGTGCTAGATGAGTGAGAGAGACCACCACATCTGTAACAGCTTGGATGGAGAGGGCCCTTTCGATTAAAATAATGTGAAAGATGATTTTTTTAGAGGAGTTAGAGCTTGTTCTGGGCCTTGAGAGGGGAGAGCAGAATTAGCAGCAACAGTTTTTATAATAGTACTAGTAATGGTAACAATGACTATGTGTCTCTGCACTGCATTGGTAATCTATACATGTCACTTGATATATATAGCTATTCCTCAAAATAACTATTGAGTTCAGCATTAGTCCTTTATAATATAAAAAGGGGATCACTGTGTCATACAGTGAGGAACTGATGATGGAGCTGGAATTTCCCTCTGCTCCAATTTGCTGTCTGACGTGGGCCCTGGAAAGCCTGGCTCTGTTCTGTTTCTGATAAAAGGTAAAATGTGCAAAATTTTTGAAGCAGGAATTTATCTCACAGAAAGATAAACGGACAAAGAGGCTCATTTGCACCCCTGCTTATAATAATAAAAGATTGGGAAAACTCAAATGTTCAAAGGAGAATTGCTTAAAAAGTTTATATTGCAATACATATGATGAAATACTATTCTGATAAAAAAAAAAGGTTTCTCCTCAGGATTGGGCAAATTGTCTACCATATAGCCTCAGGCCAAAAAAGCAAGTTGCAGAACAATGTGTTAATAGTTTGTAATGTTTCTGTTTATATATAATTATTTTTGGCTTTGCTACTTGGCCTACCTACTCTCCCAAGTTCTCTTTGATGATATTACTCAAGTGCTTGTCCTGCAGGGAAGAACATTCCCTCAAATCCTGTGACAAGAGTTTTACAATTTCAAGAATTCCTTCAAACATACACTGAATGACAGATAAAATTTCTGTGAATGTATATGTGTATGTACAAGTCCCATGTATTATGGAAACATGTAATGCTTGTAAAGTGGTGGAAAATATTTGATAGGTTAATGAACAAAACCTGTTAGCAGTGGTTTCCTCTGGGGAGAGAAAATGGGCATGCTGTTGGCAGAGGCGGCTTCCAGCCTTGGCCAAGGGACAGGCTGCTTTTAACCTAACCATTCTGTCTTTGAGAAGTTGTTCCATTTCAGTTAACACCCCTTCAAGAGAATGTGGAGTGTGAAAACACTAGCTTCTCCCCTTCTCTACCCTGGTATTCTTTTTTCCCAGCAAAAAACCGCTGCCCGCCCCCCCCAGCAAAAAAAATCTCTGTATTTAATCTTGAGACCTAACCTTTCCCCTGGATAAAATGTATAGTCTAGACCAGTGGTAGACACACCACCCACCCTTTCTTCAGGGTGCAAAGTATTAGTCACTGGTTTTCTCTCTGCCCCAGAAGTCTCCCAGGATTAATAGTCCCTCTGGAAAGAGGGTAGCTTCTCTGCCCTGGATGACAGCCTTGGCAACCAGAGACAGTCATGCTGGAGAAGTCTGTCTTTGAGCTACTTGAACCAAGCTGGCTCTGGCTAGCATTATATTCTGCTCTCAAACAAGAAAGGAGCTGTTCTGAGGCCTAGGCCCAAGGGAAGTGGAGGTCGTGAACTGCATGGTTCATTGTGACACTTAATCATGTACTCACAGACTCATAGAGCCCCCCAGAGATCTTCCAGGCTAGGGCTCCTTAACTTTTGTTGGGGTACTGAACCCCTTGAGAATCTGATGAAAGTACACAATTTCAGATTCCCCGAAGGCCACCATGGGCCCGCTGGGGCAGTGGTTCAGTGGGAAAGGTACCATTCTGAAGAAGGGGGTGTAATTATATCCTCTCATTTATGTATTGTGGAAGATATATATTCTAAATTAGCTTCTTTTTATTTCTTCAGGTAGGAGATTATGTTGATTTTTTAATTATATATATGTGGGTGGATTATATTTGAATTTCATTTCAGAATAGTAAAGGGGACATTAAACACTATCTGTTATAAAAGGGAAGTATTGGTCTTTCATGTTTATAATCACTGCTCTGGGGAGTCATGAACTCCCAGATGTAGATCTGCCATAGCCTGCTCCCCTCATTTTAAAGAGATGGAAAGCAAAAACTAATATTTAGAGACACTTGCTTAAAACTCTGTGAGAGTCGGTGGCAAAGCTGGACTCAGGACCCAGGCCTCCTGGTGCCCGGCTGGGCTCTTTGTCCCCAGTCCTGGCTGGCAGGACTGTTTAACCTTTGTACAGTGTTGCAGGTCTTCTAAACTACATTATGCACTCCTGACAGACAAAGTCCAGATCTTTTTTCCTGAATCTCTTCCTTTCCTAGTAGAGTATTCTACACTCAGGCCCTCGAGAAATATTAGTGGAGAGAAAAAAAAAACAATTCAGACTTTGTTTCTCCTCCTCAGTAACTGAGGACACTTGGGTAAGGATCAGAGCAGCCTGGGGAGGTTAATGTGCTCTTGCCATGGGAGACTGGCACAGGTTTAATTTCTCCAATGCCCGATTATGTTCTGTGTCGCTGGGGGTCGCCTGGACCTCCAAGGGCACAGCCCTCCCACAGGTGAGCTTGTAACCTAACACTGGGTTCCCCCTGGGCTCAGGTCTAACCTGAGCGACAGCCCCAGCCAACAGCTGATCCCACCTCATTGTCTATACTATGAAAGGGGCAGGGACGCTGTGGCCTGCCTCTGCTCATCCTGGGAATGGGCAACAAGCAGCTCCCAGTCAAAGCCCTGCAGGCAGATAAATGGTCCATCTGGAATGTACCCAAGAAGAGCTAAAATAAATTTTGGATTTGCAGACCTAAGCCTGATCGTGTTAAAAGACTCACGGTCCTTTCTCAGGCTGTCTTTTCAGATACTAGAGAGGGGTAATGGGCAATGCTGGAAAACGGGCTGAGCTCTGTTACTGGCTGTGTGATATTGGATAAACTACTTCCCTGCTCTGGACCTCCACTCTCCTCTGTCGCGTTGGGGCAGACCTGGTCATCTCTGGCCGTCTGTGGCCAAGAGAGCCAGAACCAGGACTCTAGGATTCTCTCTTATGTCTTCTCTCTTCTGGTGTCTACACAAGCTCCCCTGTGGGAAAGAAAACATCCCTTCTCTACCCCTCAGCAGCCCTGTCCATTCAAAAAGGAAATTCAAGCTTACGTGTAGGAAATGCTTCGTGCTCGGTGGATGACAGTATATGCCTTTTCCCCCAGGACCTGGCTGCTCGCTAACAACACTCCTCTTCCTGAGGGAGCCACACCACAGAGCATCTGTGAGGAGGGGACGGTAGGAGACGGAAGGGTGCCTGGGATGCGGGGAGGACACAGACTCTGAGGTTGGAATGATGGTGTGGACAAGTGCAGAGGCCAGGACACCTGTGGCGCTAGTTCAGATCTGGCAGGGCTGCGGTAGGTAAGGGGCACAGGACTTCTCCCGTCTCCCGGATGGCCCTTCCCCACCCCCCAGTTTTGCCCTAATAATAATAATAATGGTGGCTACAGTGTATTGAGGGCTCGCTATACGGCAAGCATTGTGCTAAGTGCTGTACACACCTTATCACATTGAATCATGGGTCCTTGTGAGATACAGAATTTGGTCCCCACTGTAGCAATCAGGAAACTGAGGCTCAGGGAGACTAAGTCACTTGCCTAAGATCTAGTCAGGAGTCAAATCCAGCTCAGCTCAGTGGTAAAGCCCTTGCCTTCACTGGATCTCTGCACCTGGTCCACTGGCTGACAGAAAGCACACTGGAGGTTTGATGGGTCTGTGTGTGTGTGTGTGATTTTTCTGCTCATAAATATAGTACAGGTCATTGTAAAATAAATTGTATTTGCAGAACTAGTGTAAAAAATGAAAGCCTCTATAAGCTTCCTCCCCTCTTAGAGATAACCACCATTAGAGTTAGTGTAGATTCCCCAGAACTCTTTTCATGTACACACTTTTAACCAAAGTGAATGTATACCATAGGCTGTGTCTCATACTCTATTTTTTAACGTTATCAGACACTTTACATATCAATTTATTCTCTTTAATGGGTATATTGTGTTCCATTGTATGGGTGGGCCATTAGACCTTATTAAGGCCATTTAGTTGATTGACAGTTTCCCAGACTGCTAGGAGCACCCTCATACCTGTATTTTGTGTCTTAGTGTAAATGTTTGCAGGATAAATTTCTAGAAGTAGAACTGCTGAGTCAAAGGGAATTTTCATGGATATTGCAAAGTTGCACGAGTTTAAACACCTATTCAAATGCTTATTTGCCCTTCTTATCCCTCTTGGGTAAACTTCCGGTTCACATTTTGTGCCTTTTTGATCAGCCTGAAGATGAGTGAAGCTCAGGCGGTCAAGGCTAGACCTTTCAGCAGTCGGCTTACCCTGTGGTCCCTCTTCCCATCCAGCCAGTTCAGCCTCTCTGATGTTGGGAGGAAGGAGTGTCCCCAAGAAATATCTAGTCACAGTCACAGATGCAGTTAGACCTGGCCCAGAGAGCAGCTGTTCTGAACCCCTGTGATCACCTAGTATCATGACTCACCTCTACCTGGGAGGATCAGGTCAGAGTCCTATTCTGCTGATAACCAGCTGGGTCACCTTGAGCAAGTCATTTCACCTCTCCAGGCCTAGGTCACCTCATCTATGCAAGGAGAGGGTTGAACTAATGGAGTCTCCTGGTTCTAACAGTCTGGGAGCCTAAATCCATGGAAAAAGAAGGACCTCACGGGTTGGCAGCTGGGGCAGGGGCTTCAAGCCAAGAAGGAGATACTTACAGATGCCAGGATCGCTACAGGTGAGGGTCCCGTCTTCAGGGACCAGGTGGGCATTGTACCTCTGGTTAGCCAGCACCTCCGTCATCTCCCCTGCCCGCTGCCGCTCCCCCACCTTGGTCTTCAGGAAAATCCCAAAACCGATGTCTGAACTGTCCGACATGAACTGCCACCTGCAGGGGACATCCATCCATTTAGACATGGTTCCATCTGTGTGAGCCCTCTCTGGGATCCTGCCACCAGGACTTCTCCCACACCAGCCCACCCACCAGCACCTAGGGTTGAAAGGCTCGGAAGGGTCCAGACCCTACCTGAGGACACAGCCAGGAAAAAGGATCTCATACTCCATCTGGTGGGATGAGCCACGGGAAATCTGCACACTGTGCTCATACTGCTGTTTCACCTGGTCTCGCACATAGTACTTCTTGGGGATGTCACCCCCATAGTTGATCTAGAAGCAGAGAGTGCAGTGAATGAGCTGGAATATTCACTTGAGCCAGGCTCCCCTTGTCACCTTCAGCCCCTGGCGGCCCATACTTTGGATCTGCACTTGGGGTTTCCATCGGGATCAGTCATGGTGCCCCCATACTCCACAGGCATTTGGTCAGGGCTCACGTATTTCAGTAAAACCTCCTTCCAGTTTCCTGGCAAGGGAAGGATGGAAAGAGAAAGAAGGGTCACCACTAGGCAAGATTTCATCACAGCCCCGGTGGTCTATACAGAAGAGGCAAGAAAAAAACCCATCTGCCCTGCACACGGAACACAGGCATTAGGAGCATATGACCGTGCACACAGGTTCAGGAGGACACACCACCCATTGCCTGGACCAGGAATCGGGACCTGGGGTTCTGTCCCCATTGCTCTGGCCAGCTGAGCAACCACAGGCCAACCACAACATTCTGAGCCTAGTTCCTTCTGCTCTGCACGGTTACGGTGGGAGTGAAGCAAACAAGTACGCGAGGCAGTATCAGAAACCGTGAAGTGCTCTGCACACAGGAGAGTGGGTGTCCCTCCCAAGAAGGTGATACAGACGGTGGCAATGCAAGCAAAAGAGAACAAAAAAGGGAAGGACTTCCCTGTGGAGGGAGCAGCGTGCCCAGCAGGCAGGAGGGCCTGAATCAGCATCCTCTGTCCTGGTCAGACTGAACTCTGTGAGGACACTGGTGTCATGGCCCCCACTTTTGCCGACACATAATTGTGCTCAATCCTGACTTACTGAATGAATACTTACATCCCTGCAGAGTGACCCCTTAAATGGGCTCCCTTGGCTTTACCCAGGCACGATTTCATTGCTGCTCCAGTTTTTTAGGCTGTTCAGCTGCTTAAAATGAGGCTGTTTGGCTCTTTTTTTTTTTTTTTAAACCAAGCCTTTTCCTGATAGGAGAGTTTGGTGCAACCAATGCTGAGAACCACTTCTCCACCATTCCAAATTCCTATACCAGTTAGCAGCCAAGTACAATATTTTGATACTGGAAGCCTTTCTATGCTGACTATATATAGGCATATGTCTATATGAGCATCTACACGTCATGCAGTGCAGCCCAGTGTTCTCTGCTGTCCATACCAGCTGGCAGCCCACTGAAGACTGTGCAGGGTCTCCCAGCCCTCTGATTTCCTGAGGCCTGGGACCACGCAACTCCTGGAACGTAGTGTCTGTGGTCTCGGGGTTTTAGCATCTGTGCTGCTAAGCTCCAGTGGCCAGCCCAGCATGAATTTCCTCCCTCCTCTGTTTAAGATCCTGTGCCTTCTTGGCCCTAGGTGGGTTTGGTTGAAAGCATTTCAGGTGTGTGTGGGGGAAACGGACAGACTGAACCTCCTCCACAGCTCTGCTGCCAGGAAACCTGTTTCATGCTTGTGGTGGGCGGTAGCAGCCGAAAAGCCAAAAATCATCAAAGCCTTTTGCTCAGATGTTGTGTTTCTTCTCACAGCTCAGCCGGAGGGTTGGAATGAGGAGGATTCTTCCCATCTTACAGGAAGAGCAGCTGAGGCGGAGCTAGAACTAGAACCCAAAAGTCCTGTTTTTTCCAGCTGCTTTACTCCATTCTCAGGGCTCATTAGCACACATTTGGAAAATCTCCGCTTTCAATGTGTTGCCTCAGGTGAGCATTCAGACACCTTCAGAATCACTATTACCCCCCCAAATTCAACTCCATAGGTGGCATCAAGCCTTCCATGAGCCAGTCTCAGTCCACCTTTCTAGCCTTTTCTCCCACCACTCCACTTAATGCTCCAGCAAAACTCGACTCCAGTCTGTCCCTGGCTGGCTTGACGCCTGGGCACCTTCCTTGCTGGCTTTCTCTTGCGACTGCATGTTCTCCTGGCTTCCCTGCAAGGCCAGTCCCTGCCAGTCTGCTTCCCTGCTACCCTCATCAACCACTTCCCATCCTCCCAGGCGGCCTCCTCTTTCTCTGCCTGGCCCTGAGCTTGGATATTCCCCAGGGTTCAGCCTCTGTTCCTCCGTAGGCAATCTTACCTACTCCTTTGAGGTGCCCGCTGCCCCTGGGATCCTTTGCTTCCCTCCCCACTGAGAGCTGAGGACACCAGGACCCTGGGTCACCTGTTTGTCTTTCCTGGCCTTTACATTGCATTTGGGAGCCATTGGCTTTGTCCCAGGCTGAGCAGGACCGTCCTGGCATCCAGGGTAGTCCTGCTTCTTGAGGTTCAGGCCCTGCTGGCAGGCTAAACTCGGGGGCAGGGACCCACTCCCACCCTGTACCCTGACCTTTAGGGAAGAGCCTGTCATATATTCAGTGTTTAGTTAACATTGTAACTCCAACATTACAAACTATTTTAGCTTCTTCTCATTTTAGATAACTCTCAGATCTCCAGACTGGAGTTCTCCTAAGCTTTAGGTTCAAGTACCCCAACATCTGTGTATCTCACGGACTCTTCAAACTCAGCTGCAGGCTTATTCTTCCGGTTGTATTCCCTGAACTAATTGCATCAGAGCAACTGCAGTCACTCATGCCGGACACCGGGAAGTCATTCTAGATTCCTGCTCCTCCCTCTATCCAGCCAGCTGCGTTCTGCTGCTTTGCCTCCTAAATATATCTTAAACCCACCCTCTCCTTTCTGTCCCTAGAGAAACTGCCCTGCCTCTGGCTTGCCACGCCTCTTGCATGGACTATGGCCCAGCACCGAAACTTCACACTCTCGTCAGTCCAATGTTATCTCAGCGTAAAGTCTGACTGTGGGACTCCCCTGCTCAGAACTCTTCTCTGGTTCCCGGTGGCCTGTAGAGTCATGTCCCAGCTTCTCAGCGTGGTGCCCTGGCTCCCTCTCTTCCTTCATCTCGTACCACGCGCTGCCATGCACTCTATAACTGCCTGTGCCATGGTGTGAGAGGTCTTTGCCCAATGCCGTTCTTTCCCCCCAGAAGCTTCCTGCCTTGCTTCATCTGGCTGCCTCTTCCTCCGTAGCACTCAGCAGAGGTCGGCATCGGCCTCCCCGGGTCAGGTATTCCCGTGCGCTTTTTCCTTCCCCTCTGTACCTTTGGCATACCGTGCTGACATACATCTACCTGTGTCTCCTTCGCCCAGAGGCAGGGAGCTCCTCAGGGGACTCTGTTGTAGGCACCCTGGTAGGCCAGGCACCCAGGCCAGGGCCTGGTGAGTGCTCAGCAAAGGAAGCCACCCTCAGTGGTCCCCAGCGGAAAGCACCCTCTGCTCCTGTGACCTCCCTGGCCCTTTGCTATGTTGTTTCTAGTGCCTTTTCTGGTTTGTACCATTGCCTTCTCTCTAGAGGTCTTCTCCCCTGTTACACTGTAGGCAACCTGAGGGTAAGGACTGGCCTTTCATTCATCTTGGAATCTACAATGTTTAGCTCAATACCTTCTTTTAGAGTGCCTGAGAGACGGAGATCTTAGGAAAACAGACAGGAAGACCGATGCCCTGCCCCAGCTTGCTCCCGGGTCCCACCGCTACGAAACCAGCAGGGGGAGCCCGCGCCCTGGTGGCTCGCGCCACACCTCTAAAGCCAGCCTCAATGAAAGCACAGACTGTCCTGTGGAGTTGGGAAGAGTGAGCCACTCACCTCCCAGGACCATGATCTTCTTACGAGTGTCGTCACTCAGGAAGGGCTTTACGAGGTTATAGGCCACTGGAAACAGCTTAGGGGCTGGAACAGGGACAGGCGACATGAGATGGGATGCAGAGCCCACTGTCCCTCACAGAGTCCTCCACAGCCCCCAGTCAGGCCACCTGTGCCCTAGTGCTGTGGAGCCCACAGAGGCAGCCCAGGGTGCGAGGCTCAGCAAGGGCACCTCTTTGGGTTCCAGCCTCCCCATCTGTATGGTGGGCAGTCTTCTGCCCCTAGCAGTGTGGCTCGAAGGAGGTAATGCCAGAAGATTTGTGAATTGCAAAGTGGTCTGTGCTTGTCAGGGGTCCTTGGATTCTCTCCTCAATCTGTCCCAGTAACATTCTAGGCCCCTCTCTCCTGTTTGGCTTCATCACAGGCAGTTCCCAGCTTACCTTTAATAATAAAAAGATGCTTCAGCGTTTCAGGATAATTTTCCTCAAACATGCAGAGAAACTGTGGAAACAAAATCACCGAGTCCAGCAGACTCAGACCTCTATACCAGGGAGGCCAGCCCTGCCTCCTCCAGGCTAGACTCTGTCCCCTCACCTCACCACCCACAGGCCATCCTAGCAGAGGGCCCACTCCCCCGTGTCTTCCCCTCCCACCCCACCTCCCCAGCACTGCCCCTCACCTCGCCATAGGCCTCCACAGCAGGCTTCCAGAGATGCTTGAGGCCAAGCCCCTCACAGTCATAAATCAGGGTGACAGTTTCCACCCTCTTCCCCATCTGCAGGGGACAGAGGAGCACAAAGTCCCATCAGGCTGCCCTGTGGCAGAAGCCCACCCCAGTTCAGGGCAAATGCTGGTCTGCTTCCGTGCCTGCATTGCAACCACAGCTAGGCAGGGCTGGACCCAGGTTTTTCCAAATAGGGATCATCATGCCAGGCCGGAATTGTGGCCTAGGCAAGTCACTCTTGCTGCCTAGGTCTCCATGTTCTCATCCAGTGAACAACTGAGTGGATGCAGATTACATCCGAGGTTCCCTCTGTTCTGCAGTTTGACCTGGAGGCCTCCCTCTGCCTCTGTGTGCAGCCCCCATGTGGTGCTCTGTCTGCAGGGTCTCGCGTGGCCACTGACTTCGTATGCAGGCACAGACACTCTCTGTCCGACCTAAGCCCTGATGAGTGCTTCCCCATCTAAGGCTTGTCTGCATCCCCAGCCTGCAGGGTCTCTGTGTGGGCTGGGCGCTCAGTGAATGCTTGTGGGTGACAGTGTTGAAATGTTCCCTAACTCATCATCATTTCCCTACTGCTAAAGAGGAAGGAAGGAGAGAAGATCACAGGTCACAGTGGCAGCTCCTCGGTCTTTTTCTCAGTAAGGGACTTAGCTGTCCTTATCTTTTTTTGAGTACAGAGTTAGAGAAGCACAGAATCTGAGCCATTTACAGCAGCAGGACCCAAACACTTGCCCAACTGCCCCTCCCAGCTGTATGTCCCTCTGTGGATTTGACCACACAAGGATAGGGTGGTCCAGGACAAAGATTTTACTGGTGCCCAGATGAATGAGAAAAATAATGATAATGTAGTAGGTTCTTTATGAAACTAAATTTATTCCATCTAAAGGACTGCCTTTTATTATGAGATTATGCCATTCCAATCATTTTGGTGGTTAATTATGACAATAATAGCCGGTAAATTTTTTAAGTCCTTACTTGGAAAAATAAAAATTTGGCAAGATATGGCAGTCCCTAAAACTCTGAAATTCTATTAGTCTATGAAATCCAAGCTACTGGGCCTCAGCCTTGAAGCTGTGCTTAAATCTCTGCGTGACCTCCCTGCTTCTCCTTGAACACCTCTCCTGGGATTAGCTCGTTGCCCCGGGCTAGTCCGCTCACCTTCTCGGTCTGGCGGGCACACTCCCGCAGCAGCAGCTCACAGTCCCGCATCTTGGTCTTGAGCAAGTCCTGTTTGGTGGCTGAGAGGAGCAGGCCTTTGGCATCCAGAGGACCAATGACATCATACCAGATGGGGCAGCCATCCAGGTCGTAGCCACACATGCCCCCTGACAGATACTGCTGGATCACCTGGGCAAAGACAGAGGAGACCCCCAGGGTGGCCATTCTTTCCCTGGATCCCAGGGTCTTCCTATGGGTTCATCAGTCTCTTCCTCTACCACCTTCCCCTGGATACCATGCAGACCCATTGAGGGAACCATCAGGGCTCACTTGGCATTGCCAGGCCTTCTGTCTGAGGGCCCCAGTCTGACAGACCAGACCAGAGACTGTGGGTCTGCTAGACGTCACATGGGAGCGGGGAGGGACCACTTGTCCTCACCTCTGGAGGCTGCCAGCTCATGACATTGTCAACGTCCTTTTGCTTTCGGAACTCCACGTGCTGCAAACACAATCAGGGATTCAAAAACAGAGGGGCAGGGGACCCCTTAACAGGCATCTAACAGTAGCGGACAATGTGGACAGACCACTGGACCATAAGTAAGTCACGAGAGGCAACCAGCAGGAATGGAAAAGAAGGCACTGTTTTAGAGATCTGGGCAGAACAGATTGTAATTCTTGGCTGGCCCAGAACTGTGAGAGCTCTGTGTTTCTAGGGAAAGGATAAGGCAACAGCAGTCAGCTAAGACTCAGACATGTCACCCCAGCCAAAGGATGTGATTGGGTGAGCAGGGGTGGGGGCAACAGTGGGATCTGGAGCCAAATGGATCTCACCTTCCGGAGCATGGCCTCGGACTTCTGCAGGTCGAAGCTTCTGGCTGTAACGGAAACATGGCCAAGGTTAGGCCTAGCATCCAAGCACAGCGTTTTCCCTGTTCCCATTTGAACCAGCTCCTCTCCATCATCCCTCAACTGACTCTCAGATCATCCCACATGCAGAAGCAAATATGAGGACTTTCACCAAGGGCTTCTGGAGCACCACAGTCCCTGAAGCAGATCAAGGTTCAGGGCAGGTGGGGGCAGCACTGTAACTTCAGGGTCAAAAGAGTTTTACCCAAATGGATGCAACCAGGTGAAGGATCTTATCTCCTTTCAGGAGAGGTGAACCCTGGACCCCCTTATCACTTAGCTTTCCCTCTTACACAAAGTCCATCTCCTCCACAGTCTAACATCCAGTCCTGAGAACTTGACCCACATTCAAAGATGAATGAAGCTGCTGTGCAATTTGGGATGGAGCTGGCAGAACATCCCAGAAGGATATCGGGGCTGATGTGCCTCCAGTCAACCTTGCCATGTCCTCAAAGGACCCATGCGTTTCCTAATGGGACACAGAGGGTCCTCCTCCCAGGGTTCCTGAAAAGTGTCACCTGGGCCAACTGTATTTTATGCACCAACCACAACAAATTGCCCTGCTCAAACATGAACATAAAGACCTCACTGCCTGCCCCTCCCCAGCCACCTGCTTCCAGATTGTCTGAGCTGCATTGCACCCAGTTCTCGCTGTTTTGGTGAGTGGAGATCCACCCCAGAGGCACTCAGGAGGGCCACTTCCTCAGCCATGTGACAACCTTTCCAATGCTGGCAAATTCTGTGCCGCCTGTCAGACCCGAGTCCCCCCTCCACCACGCTGCCTGTCTGTGAATCCCTTAACCATCCCTTCTCGCTTCGTTTCATGTCCACCCATGTTCTGCCCTCAGGCCGCCCTTACAGAGTGCTGACCAGAGCTGAGCTCAGCCCCAGGTGTTGTCTACACTTCTCCAAAAGTCTAAGAACTTTCTTGGCAATGGTCACACCCTTAACTCAGATGGAGCTTACAGTCAACTGAAATGCCCAAAGCCTGTTTAGCAGTGCTGCTAGGCCTCCATCCCATTTGTTGCAAGGTAGTTTTCTGGATCCATCCCTATCAGATTGTTACAGTCAGCTTCATTTCATCCTTTGAAGAGTTTTTGAGATCCAGATTCTGATCAATTTTGCCATCTGACCTATGAACTGTCCCTCCCAGCTGTGTGTCCCTCTGCGGATTTGATCGACAAATAGATCTGCTGACAGCACCAGAACCTGGGCCAGATCCACTGCCCTCTGGACTGTTACTGGTCCCTTAATCACTGCTCTCTGGGAGTGGCTGAGCATATTCCCTGACTCTGCTGTCACAAAATCCAGGCCACTCTCCTGGGCCCAAAGGGTGCGTCAAGAGATTTGACCAATGCCATGCCCATCACTGGTGCTGGACACATCTGCAGAACTGAATGGCCTTCACTCTTGGTTAATTCCATCGTGGCAGCAGGGGAAGCTTTTAGAGGAATGTAATCTAGGTTTGCATCTCAGCCCTTCTGCCTTCTCCCTGTTTGACCTTAGACAAGGTACTGCACACCTGACCAAATCATCTAATAAGCTAGAAACACTTGGAAGATGCTGTCATGATGGGGGAGCCCAGCTGGACCAGGAAAAGGGAATCCTCTGTAGGAGGGACACCCCCCCCCACCCCACTGTGAGGAGAGCCCTTATCTTCCAGGGAACAGGAGTGGTGGTGAACTGTGAGCCCCCTTATCTCAGGGAGGCTAGTTATCCCATATCTGCCAGGGTCCAACATCCAGAATCTCTGAGAGCCCGCTCAGGTTGCCACTTGCCCCTAGCAGTACCTGGCCTGGTGCTCCCCATGCCTGCTGAGTCAGGCCTCCCAGAGTTCCTGTTGCCCTGGTCAGGGACAACTCAGAGCATGGCTGAGGGCACTGCCAGAGAAGCCAGCCTAGGAGTAGCTAGCCTGGGTTCTTATTTATCACCTAGTCCTGAAAAATGGAGACTCAGACCTGCTCTGTCCCCCTCAGAGTTTCCATCACCCCCTTGTTAGCACCTTGACATCTGACCCTCCTTGCCGGGGTGCCCAGAGCTCGGCCCCAGTCACGGGTAGGCAGTGGAGAGCTGTGTGCCTGCTCTCAGGGCCTGGCAGCCAGCAGAACACAGACCCCAGGGGGAGGTCACACCTAGGCCCCAGAAAGACATTCTGCTGGCGTGTGCCTTGCAAATGGTTCCTTTAGAATTAAAGGGAGAAAGAGTGAAAGGTTCTTAAAAAAGAAAGAAAAAGGCAACAAAAACCCTAATTGAAATGCAGAGTAGAGTCTGGGCAGGACTGAGCTCCTGCCCAGGAAATGTGAGGCACAAATAAAGTGCAGAGGAGATACTCCCGTCTGTTTGAAGAGGCAGAGCTTGGCTTCAGGGAGCAGCTGTGGCTTGCTGGAGAGGCTGCTGGCCTGGGAATCTGGGGCCCTAGGTTTCTGCCCTGATTCTGCTTCACATTAGCTGTGTGCCTTTGGGCATGCCCTCCCCTCTCTGAGCCTCAGTTTTCTCATTTGACAAATGAGGATGACCACACACTTGGCTAGTTCTTAAAAATGAGGGGTGATCCCAGGACTGGAGAGTTGGGGTTGCCCAGGAAACCAGCTGCCAGGGCCCCAGGCTGGCTTCTTAGGTAAAAGAGAGCATGTTGTTGTTCAACAGCTTTCAGAAACTGTATGTGTCCAACTGACAGCAGCTCAGTAGTGGTTTGATCATCTTGCAGCTGCCCCTTTAAGGCAGTGCAGTCTTCCCACACTGCCCACCCGCGCCCTTGCCTGTTTCTAGCTGCTGCTCTTCAGCAAACACTGGGCCAAAATATCTTCCAGCCCTGGTCTGACTCCACTGCCGCCCTCACACTGCCCCTCTACTCTCCATGTGGGCTGAGGGAGGCAGGGAAAGGTTCACAGCTTTTCTGGAGAAAAAGGCAAGTGGCACTTGCAGAGGCACACAGGGCCCCATGTGGCTCCCCTGGCCATGAGGTGCCTGTTAGCAGTTCCTCAGAGCGTGCCAGCTCTACTCAACTTCTAGATGGAAAAGGATAATACATCTCTCCACCTGTCCAGGACTCCTAGGGTATGTATGTCCTGCCTGGTCTATAAATAAATAATTGAGCATGACTTGTACTTTAACATTTTGTGCTATGACTCTACATCACAACTTAGTCTCTTGCTAATCTAACATGGTGGAATTTTCTCTGTTATTTCTCTGGTAATAAAGTTTCTATAAAGAAAAAGAAAGTGTGTCACAAGAACCAGAAAGGGTGGCATGTGACTTGAATCACAGGAGATGAGGGAAAAATGTAAGGATTTCAGGAGTTGGGGCATACAGTTGAGTTTGACCCTGATGCTAGTAGAAACATAACATTTCATCACTACGTGCAGCTCTCTGTCATATCACATCTTGCAGTAGGCAGGGCATCCTGTCTCATCCTGCTCTCCCAGAGAAGCCCAGGGCAGATGTATGCCCTTGGCCCAGGTACCAGAGCCAGGCCAGGGCCGAGCTGGAACTAGAGCCTGGGGCTTTGAAGCCTGGTGGTGGCTTGTGAGGAGTCTTGTCAACCTAGGTCAGGCTGAGCCCCCCCATGTTCCCCATGAGCTCTGCCCCTCATTCAAGCTGGCAGCAGGTGGTCTGCATCTCAACAGGCCACAGAGAGGGTCAGCCTCTCCCAGGGGCCAGGACTCTGGTTCTAAACTCGGTTCTGCCTTCAACCTCCCATATGGTTGGGCCCTTTCTTGGCTTTTCTTCAACCTGTTTCCCCAAGTCCATCAGCAGAGTGGATTTATCAACTGGATGGAAAGGGCACCGGGCTGGGAATCGGCCCACTGGGGTTGTAGTCCTCTCTGCCTACAGCTCAAGCATTGTGTGACTTGGGGCAAGTTACTTCACCTCTCTGAGCCTCAGCAGCATCCATTATCTATCCAATTGGAGGGGTGAGGTTATGTAATTGGCAAGGATCCTTTTGGTTCCACAGGTTGAATCCCCCAGATTCTCAGATTGCCAGGGGCAGCGTTTCCAAAGGGTGCCATTCTGTTACCCAGAATAAGCTCCTGCCCCAGCCCCCCGCAGCCCATCTTCCCTCACCTCGGAGCCAGCGCAGGAGGAAATAGTCATCTGGATTCGGCAGGGTGGGCAGCACATCCTGGACATTCTCCCGGAACTGTAGGGAGAGGCAGCTGGGTGAGAGGTAGGGCACCCCCGATCTCCCTCTGCCAGGGACGCTCTGTAGGAGTTTGGCCGGACCCATCTTCAACAGAGTCAACTCTGCAGACGCTGGCTGAGCCCTTGAGCTGCATGGGGCACTGTCGGGTGGGAGCTGGCAGCAGGGAGGAGGTGGGAAGGGAGCAAGGCACTGCCCCTGCCTGGCTGCATGCACTTCCATGCGCCAGTATGGCGGGTGGGCGGATGTATTCCCAGCTAAGTGCGTTAGTAGACACTCTGGGATGTGCCACAATAAAAGTCAGTTTACCAAGCATTTCCCATGTGCCCAGCACTGATCTTGGTACTTAGTCACATCTGAGAGTCACTAGAGGTATTACTGTCCCCATTTTACAGATGAAAGAATTAGAGGTCAGAGAGGCTAAGTAATATACCCAATGTCAAATATAATATACCTGGTCTGTCTGGTCTATCCAAGACCAGAGAATGTTCTTTTTCCACCATGGTCTTCCACCTTCTTAGTAAAGGAATGGTGAGCAATGTGCTCAGGGAGCAGAGAAAAAGATGAGTTGGATTGTGACTAGGGCCAGGACTAGAGGGTGGTCTCATGTAAAAAAGAGCGTTTGAGCTGGGCTTGATGGACTTCAAAGGACAGAAGAGGCATCAGGTGGAGGGAACAGTTCCAGGGGGAAGCCCCGAAGGGGGAACGTTCAGGGAGTGCCAAACAGGTGGACAGCGACCCTAAGGGATGGACACATCGACCCCCAACTGCTCACTGCCCTGCAGGTGAGGGCCCTCCCCGTGCCTCTTGCTCCCAGCCACTCATCTTTCCCTAGTCACTGACCTACAGGGCAGCTGCGGAGGGGACCAATGAGGACCCGCCACCTCTAACCCCTTGCCTAGGTCAGCCAGAGACTCAGACCATCCCATCCCACCCCATCCCACAAACAGCTCCAAGGGCCCCAGGAACACTGCTCATGCAGGGCCCAGGCATGAAGCCACCCCTAACCAAGGACCCTACCCAGCACTGGTTTTCGGTTTAAATCACCACCTAATCCCCTCTCTGCCTGGCTTCCCCTGCGCGGCAGCAGTAACACCTGAAACCTCCCTCTCCAGGCCCCTGGGATGAGGGCTGCCCAGCCCCAGGCAAAAGCCTTCGGGGGGCTGGCACCTCAGCTCCACTGCCAGGACAGGAGCCCTTTGTTTACCACCTGCCCCTAGCCCAGCAATGGAAAACTGCGCAGCTTTCCAAACCTTGATATTGGACTCAATTGGTTCAGTCTGAGAACCAACCTCTTTTCTTCCCAAGGGACAGAGAGAAGAGGAGATTCAGTTAGTGGGCAGGGGGTCGAGCCCAAGGGCCCTTGCTCCCCTCTGCCTAGGTGCCAAAGCAAAGCCAGGCTTACCTCTTTGCCTTCTTAGGAGCACGGACCCAAGCGCCCAGCCTCGAAGGGGCCTGGGTTGCAGGAAAGGGGTGGGCTTGTCTCAGCTCAAACCAACCCGGACCCAGCGAGTCACTGACGGGATCCTAGACTTCTCCCGTGAAGATGCTCCCTTCATCGTGGGGTCCAGCCCCTTATTTCATGCCATCAAGTCGTAAACAAGCGGAAGAGGTTTTGCCCAAGGTCGCAGAGAAACTTGGCACCGGAGCAGGAGCTAAGCTATCCAGGCATCCTAAGGAGCGGTCCGGGCCCATGCCCTCGGGCCCACGGCCCCCGCCAGAGGAAAACCTCCCGGAAATGGGAGGAAACCTGGGGCCCTGCCCCTGCCCCCAGGGCTCGGCTGCCAGGACCGAGAATAATGTGGGTTTTGTGCCCTCGGCTGCCTCCGAGGGCTTCTAAGCAACCACTTCTTCCCAGGTGGCACAGCCAAGGGCGCGCTTGGGGCTGGGGTGGCCAAACTTCCCCGGGGACCCCTCGGCCGGCGGAGGCAGGGCGCGGCGGCCGCGAGCGCAGGATGCCAGGTGCGGCGGCTGCTCTCCCTCCCCCCGGCGCGCCGCGGACCGTCGCTCGCCGCCCACCCGGACCCTCCCCAGCTGCTGCCGCCGGGGGCGAGGGCCACGGGCGGGGCGTGAGGGTGAGGACTCGCCTTGGCCAGTGCCTCCTTCTGCTTGGGGCTCAGATCGCCGACCCTGCCGCTCATGGTGTCTCGGGCTCGGGCGCGGCGGTTGCGGCAGCTGATGGAGCCCCGACTCGCTCTCCGCCGCTGGAGTAAAGTCCCAGCCTTTTGCCGGGGCCGCGGGGCCGGCGGCCAAGCCCCGCCTCTTAAAGGATCCCGAGGGGCGGGGAAGGGAGATCGTCGCTGGGCGCCGGAGCCTCCGACGTGGCCGCCCCCGCCCCCCTGCAGTCGGGAGCGAGGCAGGAGGCAAGCCGAGCGCCCACCGGGCCGACGCCAGGGACGTCAAAGAGCAGGAAGCCTGGGTTCTAGTCCCAGATTTACCCTGCGCTCTCAGGGCCTCAGTTTCCTCATGTAGGTATTAGCTGATGAGCTCTTCCAACATCAGGCCCCCCCAGGCCAGGACCTCTCTCCTCAAGACAGTAGGGAGCTTGCCTGGTGCCGCTGCGGGGGCCAGGTCCCCCAAGCCCACCGTTGCCCGGCCTTTGGGAACTGTGGTTCTCATCAGCCATTTCTCTCTGGGGCCCTTGCCCTCCTCCTGTTCTGCCATCCGTGTTTGGACCACAGCTGCCAACCCAGCTCGGGGCCTTGATTCAGCAGCGTTCACGGCCTCTCCTCTCCACCTGCGGGGAAGACAGGCTGAGGCGCCCAGAAAGCACGGACCCGGTCTCCCCATCCAGGACCCGTCCTCTGCTTCTGACCTTCCCAGCTCTCCCAGAACGGCTCCCTAGGTGCTTCCACCCCAGGCCAGCCTAGAGGATTGCTTCCTTTCTAGGATCAGAAGGCCTGGGTTGAAATCCTAAATCCTCCGCATCTTTTTAGGAGACTTCAGCAATAGACTTCACCTCTGTGAACCCAATAGACTTCACTCACCAAATGGAGGTGATCTGGATGTCACGTGAGCATGAGAGGAGAAAGCGAGCTGACGTACACGATCCACTCAGTGGGGTGCCTGCCTAGAGTGCCTCTGTGACCACTCCCCAGTCGGCCCTGCATGGCCTCCCCTTGCTGCCCACCCAGCCTGGGGATGCAGGGTGGACATGGAGAAAGCCACAATGAAATTGATGGCCCAACGTAAGCAAGCCTGCCCTCAGCTTACCTGCTTTCCCTGCTCATGCCCAGGGGCCAGAGCTGTGAGTTCCTCTGTAGGTAGCCGCTTGGACACCTCATTGCCATCTGACTGGCCTGCCATCTCCCAGTCACAGCCCCTTCCCCATACAATGATGCCATTTCCTCCTTTCCAAACTCAAACACCTCCCCCCCACACACACACTATTCCTGCCTCCGAGGTAGCAGCTGGTCCCTGCCTTGGGCCATTCTTTCCTCCTACTGTGTTCCAGGCCCTAGGCATGGTTCCGGGGACCCTGAAATGAATTAGACACCATCCTGCCCTCTCAAAGATAAGACACAGGCGCCATCAACTAGAACACAAGAGTAAGATAAATGTCCCAAGGAGAGCCGGCAATCATCTCTTAAAGGGAGAAAACTAAAGGGGGTGAATTTGCTTTGGACTGGAAGAATCTTAGAAGGACAGGGAGTGGAAATGGAGCTGGACCCTAAAATATGGGGTGGGAAGGAAATGGGAAGGAGGTTCGCTCCTTCCATGCTGGCACAGTGACATGAGCAAAGATGTGGTGGTTGCTGGAAATCATGGCTGCAACTGAAGCCATGAAGAGGGGAAAAAAGGGGTAGGCAGGGATGACTGAGAGAACCTTGACGTGGCCAGTCAAGGTCAGACATAGTAGCATCTGCCCTGCTAGACCCTGAGTTTCTTGGGCACAGGGTCCTGTATTAGTTACCTCGGAATCCCCACAAAACCCCTACCCCTGGCATGGCATCCTGCACACAGGCTGTTCAATAAATATATGCTGAATGAATTAATGCAAGGAATACTCCTATAGGCACAGAGCCAGGTGCTGGGGAAGCCCTAGGAAGGAGACATAAACATCATTGGTTCAGGGATCAGGCAGCTCACCTCACTTAGCAGCTGTGGGAACTGAGACCCACAGAGGGTACAGCTTGCCCAAAATCATTGATCATGTGACAGATGTAGAGAGCTTCGCTCAGTGCCTGGCACAAGGAAGGCGCTCAGCAAAGCCCTCCCCTTACTGCCTGAAATTTACAGAGTTGGGCACAGGAGCCCGTGGGCCTCTCACCTCCTGCAACAGGGGCCCTGCCACCTCCACGCTTAGGTCTCCAGGACAGCAGAGAGCAGAACCACCCCAGAGTCTCTGGGTTAGAAGACAGAGGTAGGCTACAGCAAGCCCATTAAAGATGCTTGGGAGGACTTCACCCTGTCTCTGGCGTGCCCCCACCATGGACGTCTGTGGCAGGGTGCAGAGTGGGGGTCTCCGGTCCAGCCCTTGTGGCTGAGAGGCTTCCAACGCCCCTGTGAAGAGTTTTCAGAAAATCCCAGCCGTCCTGCCCTAGTTAAAGAATCACTGGCTTCTGCCTTAAGGCAGAGCGGGGCTGCCTTCTTTACAGGATATGTGGCTGAGATCTTTATTTAAGTCCCTTCCAGGGGCAAGATGTTCTGTTCAGTGTAGGGCCATCCCAAAGGTAAATAGAACAGCCCCTTGGGTTGGTTCAGCACTCGACAGTTTACAAGGCACTTTCAGATCTAACTTTTCATTTAAGCCTGTGGCACCCCTCCAAGGTAAGCAGGTCAGGTGATTTACTGAGGAATCTGAGGGAGAGAGGCGGTCACATGAGTGTGTGCAGGGTTGGGACTTGAACCCAAGTGTCCAGCTTCTGGGCTGAATTGTCCTGGGTGCCTGCAGTCTGGGGTGTGGACTAGCCTGGGAGCTGCCTACAGAGGCTGCCCAGGAAAGCAGGGGGAAAACACTGACCCAGCAGCAAACAGTCCCGAGCCCCGAACAGCCCTCCTCCCACCAGGAATCTGGAGTTACCTGTAATAAAGACCTAAGGAAAGTACCCTTCCTCCAGCCTGCCCTTCCCAGGTGCTGTGGCTGCCTGCTTCTCCTTCCCCACTGAGACTTACCTGTCTCCCACTATGGAACAGTTAATCTGATCATATAAATCCTAAAATAATAGTCTCGTAAACTCCTCTGAGCTGGCTAGTAAGATAGAGCCCCGCCTCCACATCACCACCCTTTCTCTAAGCCCCAAACTCTGTCTGGCAATTCTCTCTCATGCTGGGGTATGTTTCTTTCCTCCCCAAGAATCTGCAGTGGCTCCCTAGTTCCAGAAGCCAGCCCAACCTCACTGAATCGCAGTCAAGGCCTACCCACCCCTGCCTCATCCCAGTATCCCTTATGGCCCCAACTGCCACTCTTCCCCTCCACACACTTTCATTTCAGTCAGAAAGGCTCAGCCGCACCTCTGCCCTCCTGCTCCCGCCAGTTACTTCCGCGAGCCTGACCCTCCCCGGCCTTCCCCGTCCTGACCAGATGTTGTTTCCAGGAACTTCTCCCCGATCTACCCAGTCCTACGCATCCTCTGCCAGCCAGCAACCCCTCTCTCCTGACCTTGACACTGACTGCTTTGTACTGTAGTGATAACTATCAGGCAACAGGTTGGCCCAATAGAAAGAGCCCAGCCTCCTGGGCCAGGTAGGTCCGGGATGAGACCCAGGCCCTGCCACTTGCCAGGTCTGTGACAGGTGGGCTGTGCTGAATCTACCTTGCCAGGCAATGCGGTGTAAGGGGCTGAAAGAAGGCTGCTGGGCATGGAGATCTGGGAGGAGCATGGGAGGATGGCTCCAGTCCTAAGAGTTACTGCCCTGGGGCTGAGGTTCCTCTGGAAGGGGGCTCTGGGAAGAGGCAGGGGCACTGGGCTGTGAGTCCGGGACCTGGGCTTTGGACTGCATTCCTGAGTGAATGTGCTGTGGTGACTGTCCAGCAGTGAGCACTGCCGGAGCTGGGGGAGAGGGAGGGGGGACTCCTTGGGGCTGTCTGCCCTTGGCCGCTGGACCCTGGTGACTCTCTTCTAAAACAAGGACAATGACCTCAAGATCAGAGGCTCCCAGTACCTTGTCCTCTGGTTTTCTAGTGCCAGCAGGGAAGGGGTGGTGCAGAGATAGGCACAGTGATTTGAGAGTCCGAGAGAGCAGTCTTTAAAACTCTTCAGCAAATATTTGTGGAACTCTCTACTTCCACAGGGCCAGGACAGTAGGAACTCTCTGGAAAGCCCTTGTGCTTGTGGGTGGGGAAGGACGGAAGAAACCCACACTAGCTGGGTCTGCATGTTCCCTACAGCAGAGACGACCACAGCCCAACGAGGGAGCGGTGGGCGTGGACTCACTCCTGTGCCTGCCCACACCTCCTCCAGGTGGTCCAGAGCACCTTTCGTTCCTTTGCTCCACAAGTCCTTATGCAGCACGCATGGTGCCAGGCATGGGGACACCTCAGAGAACAAGGCAGGCCGGGCCCTGCCCACAAGGAGTCCCAGGTCCGCAGGGCAGCAGCCAAGGCAACAGGTCATTCCGGGACAGAGCAGCCAGTGCCACCACCGCAGTGCAGACTGGAGGTCCCCTTCCAGTCGGGGCATGAGGGCATCCCAGGTTCCTTAGGGACCTGAAGGCTGAGCAGGACCCGGCCAGACTGGACGGGGCAGGAGGCCTGGGGGCCATTTATTCATTTATTCATACATTCATTCATTCAACACATTTAATTGAGCACTGAGCTTATCATGGAGGAACAAAGCTGCTTTCATGAAGCTCACGGTACTGGGGGTGAGGGACATGCCCAGACCGAGATAAAGAATCAGGGCTTAGGGGTGAATGGGATAGGAGGTGTGGATGTCAGGAAGGACCTCTGACCAGTGGGAGGAGCTGCTTTGAGATCCTTGGGCTGGGAATGCTCTTGGGGATGGGGCGGGGGACTTTCCCCTTTGGGCTTGAGCATCCTTGGTGTTGACCAAGGGTAAATTCCCACAATGAGCAGAAAGTGCCTTTGAAGGGAGAAGGGACCTAAGTGATCTCCCACGAGGGGAGGGGAGGTATGGTGGTAGGGGTGGGGAAGGGCGTGTACTGGAGAGGGGGCTGGATAAGGAACCCCGTTTGCTGGCTAGGGTCCTGGTTCTGTCTCTTGCCAAGGTGGCTCTGCCCTGCCTGGCTGCCACAGCACAGGATGGCACCCCCCTCTGTTCTCTGACTCTCTGTTCTCTTT